GCCATATCCCCTAGTTTTCTGATTCTAGAAGTCACACACAACACACACACACAAAGCACTGTTTTGTATACTAAAGCAAAACCAGAGGTATTTTGGAGTAAAATTCAAACTTTAATTAAGGTTTAAAAATAAGGTACACAAAAGCCAATCCCCACCAGTGGCTCACACCTGTAATCCTAGCTACTCAGGAGGCAGAGATCAGGAGGATCACTGTTCAGAGCCAGCCTGGGAAAGTGGTTTGCAAGACTCTATTCAAAAAACCCATCACAAAAAAAGGGCTGGTGGAGTGGCTCAAGATGTAGGCCCTGGGCTGGCAAAGTAGCTTAAGCAGTTAGAGTGCTTGCCTAGTAAGTGTGAGGCACTGAGTTCGAACCCCAGTGCTGCTTAAAAACAAATACTAGGAAAAACAATTGTTTACATTAAAAAAAAAAAAGATGTAAGCCCTGAGTTCAAACCCCAATACTGAAAAAAAACAAAGAAAGAAAGAAAGAAAGAAAATACCCATGTCCTATGAAAATACCCATAGTCCTATGAAATAGGACTAGAGGAATGGCTCAACTGATAGAACACCTAGCAAGTGTGAGACTCTGAGTTTAAACCCCAGCACTGTGCCAAAAAAAAAATAAATTAATTAATAAAAAAATAAACTTCACAAATCAGGGCACAGTGAGATAAGCCTATAATCTCAGTATTCAGGAAGCTGAGGCAGATCACAAGTTGCATGCCAGCCTGAGCTATGTAGCAAGACCCTGTCTCCATCGATAGATAGGAAGATGATAGATAGATAGATAGATAGATAGATAGATGATAGATAATATAAACTATCAAAGACTAATCCCTGCCTGCCTTGGTGCTGCTACTATAAATCACTGAGCCTGTGTCACCTCTTCTCTAAGGATACTTGGAAAGAACATGAAAGTTCTCCATCCTAAGCCCAGAAGGACAACCTAGGGCCTCCTGATGTTTTCTTTTTGCTTTTTTGCTTGATGGCTCTGGGGACTGAACTTACCACCACTTGCATGCTAGGCAAGCACTCTACCATTGAGCTACACCCACAACTCTGGTCCAGCGGATCTTCTGCATCTTCCAAAAACTGTGACTGAGCAGAAAGGCACTGTCTTCAGGATTCTGAATGCTGGCATCACATGAGAATGTGTGTGCTGGGTGTGGGGCTGAATGGGACACTTTGCAGCTAAATGCTATTTTCCTTTCTGGACCAAAAACAAGCTCCAGGCCCATAGAGCTGGCTGCAATCCTCAGCCACGCCCACCTCAGCCTCATCTTCCTGGCCAGGCTCTCCTGCTTAGCCACAGTCTCTGTCCAACCTCACTCTCTCAGCCTGGGAAGAGGAGAGGCAAGTGTTCCTTGGGCTTGGGAGGGGACAGAGGAGGGCCAGAAGAGGCTTGTGGGCCTCTTCCCTCCTGGAGGCCGGGAAAGAGGCACTGGGAGCAGGAGAGCTGCAGGACCTAGCATTCTGCAGCAGCCAAGAGTGGACTGATGTCCAAATCCATTTTCAGCCTGTTGTTTGGAACTCTGGAGTTTATTTTCCCACAGAAACAAAGCTCAAGTGGAGGTTGGCTTCCTGCCTGGCCCAAAAGAGGCGTATTCAGCTCACAACACCATAGCCTCAAACCTTCACCCCTCCACCAGACCCTCAGGCAGCTCTGCCAAGGCTCTGGGGGCCGTGGGAAGCTGCACAGCTCTTACACAGAGCCACAAGACGGGGAAGCAGAACTCTGAGTGTGTCTGAACACATTTCTAAGCACAGGACACACCTAAGCTGTAGATGACAGGGAGAGTGTCCCCAGGGTCTTACTGTGTCTGTGCCTCACGTTTTTTTTCTTTCGTTGGTACTGGGGTTTGAACTCAGGGCCTTACCCTTGCCAGGCAGGTGCTCTACCACTTCAGCCAGTCCATCAGCTGGTTTTTTTGGGATGGGTTTTTTTGAGATAGCATCTTGTGAACTATTTGCCCAGGCTGGCTTCAAACTGCGATCCTCCTGATCTCTGCCTCCTCAGTAGCTAGGATTATAGGTGTGAGCTACCAACACTCAGCTCTGTGCTTCAGTTTCTTCATTTATAAATGGTAATGTGACCGGATCCATGGTTCTCTAACTTTTTCTCTTTTTCAAGCAATCTTGAATAAAACAGATACAATCTTATCTAATTAAAGCCATGACAGAGTTGGTAAAGGATCACACCCCTCTCCCTTTACACCTCCTCCTTGGCAGGCTCTCCACACTTCAGTGTACCTCCTCCTAGGTCTCTCAAGGCATTGTTGGAAAAGTCACTGGGCTGTGTCCATGCACACATCTACATAGGTATGTGTCTAGACAGACATACAAAGACATATATCAACACACACATTTGCAATCATACACTGATGCAGATATACGCACATATATACACACACACCACCCCTCCCTAGCATCCTAGAGTCAGTGGAACTCTGTGGATAAAACTGCAGTCTGGGGGAGGGGGTCTAAAACCCAGCACCCTGCTAACTGTGCAGCCTTTGGGAAGCCAATTCCCACCCCCCAACCTCAGCTGTAACATTGGGATTGGGGATTAAGATGCTTGTTCACAGAGTTCCATGCCAGTCTTTGGAAGCTGGAAGTCACTCTGAAACTGGCACATTTGTGACTGGCTGTGAACATGAACATGACAGGTCAAGCCACATTCCACCGAGAAAGCTCCTCGGGGGCCTGTGTGGGCCCTTGGCTGCCGTGTTCACATTCCTGGACATGCCAGGGCTTCCTGGAGTGTCCAGAGCAGAGGGTTCCTGGGTAAGGGGAGCATGTGAGGTGAATAGTGCCAAGCTGGAGGAGATGAGACAGAGCAGGTGGCCTAGGGGTGGGAGAGGCCCTGTGGAAGATAGAGACTTGTAGCAGGTAGGGAGGGGCTTTAGGAAGCCCCAACTGGCCCACCACAATGGAGCCCCTTTGCTGGGTGAGCTGGGACCTGTGGGACCTGAGGCTGCCATGGGAACCCGTTGAGAACACAAAGCACCAGGAGCAGGGAGGCCCCTCCCGGAAAAACAACATCCTGGCTGTTGGGGCCAGGCAGGCTCTGTGGGAGGGGCTATTTTTAGCTGTAGAGGCTGCTGGGGCAGGACTTGTATGGCCTTGCTGTCTGGCTGCAAAACTCACCCATTGTCCCCCTTGACCTTGCCTGGCTGCTGGGAGGCCTCTCTGTCTGCTCCTTGGTCTCCTGTCCACTCGGGTACCTGGGAGCAACCCAGAGAATGAGCTGGCCTGAACACACAGCCACTCTGTAGGCTCAGGTCATCTAAGGCTACATGGGGTGGGGCGGTGGGGTTCTGGGGTGGTAGAGGCCACTGAGCCAGAGGCTCTTCTGCAGCACGGAGTCCTCGGGTTCCTGGGCTAGAGGACTAGCACTGTGCTGCAGCAGCTTAGCAGGGTGCTAAGAGGACACAGACTCCTTTTAGTGAGACATCTGGCTCCACTTTGGGTGGTCTCAGCTTTCATGGGCTGAGAAGGCCGGTAAAAAGCCCAGGTCTGCGGCTCTCTTGCCCACACCCAGGCATCCTGCTGGCTTTCAGTATGTTTAATTCTGGGTACAACCAACACAGGGCACGTCCAGAGCTAGCTGTGGCATCAAGGAGGCTGGTGGGAGCTGGGCTGTCCAAAGCAAACACTAGGACAGCCAGGATGACTATGGGGCTGGACCCTGTGTGACAGGCCACCTCTGGCTGTCCCTGCCTAGAACCAGAGAGTAGAGGTGCCCCAAAGGGCAAACACCCTGTTTCAGCCTCCTCTTCCTGGGCCACGGGCTCTGTTCCCTCTCCCACCTGCCCATTAGGCCACATCGTTGGTGAACAGAGAGAGGAAGGAAAAATGGAGTCATTTATTCAACAAGTGTTTATTGAGCACCGACTGTGTGCCAGGCAGTGTTGGAGAAATCTGGAAAAGAAGGGTTTGGGGCAGCCTGGATCTGCACCAGCTGAACAAAACAAGTCCTCTGGGGGACAGGTGCTGGGGGAACCTCCTCACTGAAAGGTAGAAGGGCAAATTATAGAAGGCAGAGATCTCCAGAACTGAGGAGGCTGGGAGGGGGTGTGTGTGGGACACTAAGGAGGTCCTTCCCAGAGGTTAAGGCCACTGAAGGAGGAGGCTGGCCCCATATCACCTCCTCTTCAGCACCGATATGCAGGATTTTTTGAGGGGCCCAATCTGCAGATGAGCGTCTACACTCTCTAAGAAGAAAGCAGGCTTAAGCCTGTGGGTAAAGAGCCCTGCAAAGTGACTGTCCAGGCGGCTCTGAAAGAGATCAGTGGGGGAGGCCAGGGCGCCACTCCGGCGTGGCCGTGAGGCTTTCAGCCTCCGAAGAAGGCTCAGCTTCCCCTCGCGCACGGCGTAGAAGGCCAGGGCATGGTCAGCATACTCCAGGCAGACCCCGACCGTGGGCGAGAAGGCGTGGGGCAGTGTGGCCTCCAGCCCGTGGAACCAGACAGAGAAGCCACGTCCGTTCCACTGCAGACAGCATGAGTGTGCATTACGGCCCAGCCGGCCCCGGTCGTAGGGCTCTTGTGGGGAGAAGCCTTCAGCCATGACCCCAACACTGACCCAACCCTCGATGATCTCCACCTCCCAGTAGTAGGTGCCCCGATCCAGGGCACCCTCACCCAGCACCTGCTCGCAGTGGGTGAAGCGGGTGGGTGACTCGGGGTAGTTGATAGGACACAGCACCCTCTTGACACCTTTGGTTCCGAACAGCTGCAGGAACTTGTCTGCCGTGTCACTGTCCAAGTCCACGATGTAGGCAACTGGCCCCATGGATGGGAGAAATGTGGGGTTAAGGCCAAACTCAAATGGGACAGAACCCCTGCAGTTGTCCACCTCCCCCAAACATGGCCTTGCCCCTCCTTTGGGACCAGCACAGCTCAGGCTGCTGGAGACGACTCCCTGGGCTCATCTTAACCCCGGGGACTAGGGAGGAGAGTTCAACCCTCTGTGCTGACCCAGCAGTCATAGGAGGCCCTATGGGAGCAGGAGGGCTGAGTCCACTTACATTTCAGGAAATAGTCCCTGGGAGCCTCACTCTCCAGGAGGTTGGTGCTGTCAGGGTCCTGGGGCTCTGTATCAGCTGCAGAAGAGGAGGCAGTGGGGAAGATGTCCCTAGACTGCCCTTGGCTGGGCTTCAGGGCAAACGGTTCCACATTGCCCCACAGCCCCTGCCCGCCTGTGGCCGCAATTCCCTCTCTCCTTCTTCCCAACCTGGGGACAGGTACACACCACCCAAATATGGCACCCTGTATTCTCATGCAGACCTGGTACCTAAATTCTGTCTTTGACCCCCTTGCTTAAGGGGCTTCAGTTCCTCCAAAACTAGGAACACTTCCTTTGCCCTTTTAGCTGTAGCCAAAGAGCCAGTTAGTCATCACAGGGTGGCCGCTCTAGTCCCTGGCAGGATTTGGGTGCCTCCCTGTGCTAGGCAGTTTCTCTCCTCCATTCCTGGATGGGCATCAGGCCTGGAGGCCTGTGTTCCCCTTCTGGTGGAGGGTGAGCCATGTTGGGGGAGCACCCACCTTCTGAGCCCAGCTTCTGCAGCCCATCCTCGTCACTGCCCAGCCCCTGCAGCTGCTCCCACTGGCTGGCACAGGCCGAGACCAGCACGTCTCTCACCGCCCGGATGGCTTGGGAGGACTTGGTGAAGCTGAGCTCCCTGGGGGGGCCAGGACCAGGGCCACACCCCTCCTCCAGGGCCAGCCGTAGTGCCAGGAGCTCCTGCACCAGACAAGTGTTCATTAAGGCTCTGTTGGCCACCACTCCTCCTAGCCAGTAAGGGGCAGCACCACCAGGAGGTCAGCACAGCTTTGGAAAGCCAAGCACCCATTGCCCCCACCTCCACTCCTCACCTGTTCCTGTCTCCCCTCCCCTTCTGCTCCGTCTGTGGCTCAGAGCTTTGCTTACCTGCAGGAAGCTGACTGAGTCGGCTTCAGGGACCTGACTGAGGTTGTGGCGGGCCCTGCTTAGGCGGCTGCGCTGTTCTTCCTGTCGCTGCAGGTCACCCTGGGAGTGGCCCAACATGGTGGATTCCCCTTCCTTAATGAAGCCCAGAACCTCGGTCTGGAAGCGCTGCAGGGTGGCCACAGCCTCGGCAAACAGCTGGGTTACCCTCTCCCGCTCTGCCACAGCTGCGCTCTGCACAAGACAGCGGCGGAGGCAGCGATGAGGGCCTCATGCTTCTCTGGCCCTTCGTGTTCACTCTGCCCTCTTAGCGGGACAGAGGGGCCAGCTGGAGCCCATCTTGAATCTGAACCAGGTCAGGGGAGATGATTGTGGTCAGAGAAGACAGGCAGGGATTTGAGCAGGGCTTGTTCGGAGTGAATGGGACCAGGCTGAAAGCTGGGGCCTGCTGCAGCTGCACAGGGGTTGGAGGGGCTAGAGTGGGGTCTGACCTTGACGAGGGCTACTGTTCGTCGGGACTGTGCAATGCTGGCACCCAGCTCATCCATGCGGTCCTCCACAGCGCTCAGGATTTTGGGCTGCTCTGCCTGTGGATGACCCTCTGTGAGTACGGTGTCTATCAGGCCTCAGCCCTGCACCAGGGTCCCAGGACTTGCCAGGGAGAGGAAAGGGGTGACTGGGGAGTGGGGCTGTGGGTGGTCATAATATTCCATAATATGCCAGAGGTGCCTCCAGCCCAGGCTGATTCCATTCCCGAATGCCTGCTGGGGGACCAGGCTGACTGTGGGTGTGTCTGCTTCCCTCAGGACCAGTGGGGCCAGTACAGGGCCATTCTGGATTTCAATGTTGCTCAAAGTTACTTGAGAATTTCCTCCAGTGGGGAAGAGGTATGAAAGTGAGAGTGGAGCGGGCCATGATGCAAAAGAGGGCACTAGCTGTCTTGGGGGATCACTTCCTCCAAAGAACCCGTGTCCCCAATCCAGCTCTGAAAAACGGGGATTCCGGGCAAATCCCTTGGGTTTTATGAGTCACTGCTCCAGGCAGGACAGACGGAAAATCCCCAGGCCAGAGGCGCCAAGACCAGGATGGAAGCCAAGGGAAACTGGGGGAGGGAGGTAACAGGACTTTGGGCACATACTCCCACCACAGCCCCGGAACAGCAGGACAGAGAGGATCTGTGTGCCCAGCTCACCCTCCTTCACACTCCTGTCGCCTGCCACACCCATCCAAAGCGGCTGACTCAGTACAGGGCAAATCTGAGCCAGAACCGACATAAGCCAAAAGTATCAGCCAGCCGATCGGACCCACTGAGGTCGAGGACCCTAACGCGCTCCTTGTTGCTTTACACACTCAGGAACGTTGACCTGGCTTCTTCAGGTCCTCCTGCCCGCCCTCTTCGCGTCCTTTTCGCGTTCTTACTTGTCCCTCTTTTCCCTCTTTCCGGTCTCCACCACCCGGAGCACATGAAAAGATTCTCCGCTTAGAGGAGGAAATTAAGACCCAACTCGAGATGGATAGGGGGGTCCCTGGCCCTCGGCCCCTCCCGCATGGCTGGTCACCCGTTCCCGCCCGCCCCAGGTGCCCCGCGCCCCACCTCCTGGAGCGCGCGCTCCTGCTCCAGCGGCACGAGCTCGTGGCCGCGGTGCTCCTGGGCTGCACAGGCCTCGCACAGGCACACGCGCTCGGCGCGACAGTAGCGCTCCAGCGGCCGCAGGTGGCGCGGGCAAAGGCTGTCCTCCAGCCGGCGCAGCGGCTGCACCAGGCGGTGCCCACGCAGTGAGGGGCTGCGCTCGTGCGGGCCCAGGTGCGCGGGGCAGAAGGAGGCCAGGCAGGAGAGGCAGGAGAGCGCCGCGGGCTGGGCCGCGCCCTCGGGGCACGCGTCGCAGCGCACCGGCTCTTTGCCCGCCCCCCATGGCTCGGGTGCGCAGGGAGCCGACGGTTCCGGAGCGCTGGGTGGCGCGCTGGGGGCCGAGGGTTCCGGCGTCGCGCCCCGGGCCGGGGTGGGGGCCGGGGAAGGCATGGGTCTCGGGCTCAAGCCCTGGCGGAGCTGTAGCAGTTCAGACAGCGTGTGGTTCTTGCGGAGCTGCAGGCCGTCGGGGAAGGGCTCCTGGCACAGCGGGCAGCGGGCCGCGCCTCCGGATCCTCCCGTGCGACCCGCGCTGCGGTGCGGCCAGAGCACGCCCAGGCAGGCCAGGCAGAAGTTGTGGCCGCAGGGCAGCGTCACCGGCTCCCGGAGCAGCTCTAGACAGATGGGGCAGCTGAAGGGCCCGCTGCCGTCCATGGCTCCGTAGCTGCTCGGGCACCGCCTGTTCTGCTCCCGCCTGGGAGGGACCAGGACCGTTCGCGTCGCAGCGCCGCCCCCTGGGACCGAGGCCAAGGGTCCGGCCCCCGCCAGGCTCGGCCCGCCCCCCGAGCAGCCCGCAGGTCCTCGGATGCCCGGCCCCGTCCGGCTGCGGGGGTTCCCTGAGCGCCGGTCCCTCGTGGACTGAGGGGGCCGCCTTGCCGAAAGGGACGAAGGCAGAGAATGCGAAGCGACACACGGGAAGGAAGCAGGAAGGGAGTTCGCCCCTCCTTCCACTCCCCACCTTTGGCCAGCCCCGGGGCTACCCAGGGGTGATGGGGCCCAGCTGTGTTGTGCCAGCACCTTTGCGCTCCAGACCCCTCCCTGGCACAGTTGGTAAAGTCCCTGAGCTGCTGACTGCAGGCCAAAAAGCTGCTGCTGATGGATGTTTTTGCCCCTTAGCGACTCTGTTTACCCCCAATGGGGAACCTGGGCTTTTCTAGACCGGAAATGGGAAGTTGACATCACTCTCCAAATCCCTGGTGTGAGGAATTCAGTTCCGTCCCCTGGACACTCCCAGACACCTGTGGTGCGCCCAGGCAGGGACTGGGAGTTCCCCAAGAGGAGGTACTGGTTAAGACTGGTCCAACTACACGCTCAAAATGGTGCAATTTATTGTAAGGTGATTATTTGTTTGTTTTGATACAGGTCCCATTGTGTAGCCCAGGCTGGCTTCAAACTCCCCATCCTCTTGCCTCAGCCTCCTTGATGTTCACTACCAGGACCCCACATCTTGTCACAGGTGCGCGCTACCCCACCCGGCATGTTATTGTAAGTTATAGCTCAATAATGTTAAATTTTAAAAAAAGGGGGGGGCCGGGAATGGGAACAAAATAAACAATATTGGTTATGGGTTGCAACCCAACGTAAAAAGAAAAAATCCACGAGTCCATGTTAATACTAACAAGTAATTGGGTAAGTGAATAAGTGGGGGAGAGTAGACACATTTCCCATTAAGAAGAATTCCAAAGCTGGCACCGGTGCCACACGCCTGTGATCCTAGCTACTCAGGAGGTAGAGATCAGGAGGACCTTGGCTGGAAGCTAGACTGGCGAATAGTTTGCAAGACTCTGTCTTGAAAGAAAAACCCATCATACACACACACAAAAGGGCTGACTGAGTGGCTCAAGCGGCCTGAATATCTGAGTGTGAGGCCCTGAGTTCAAACCTCACTACCGCCAAAATAAATAATAAATAAATAAATAAAAATAAGAATTCCAAATAATTTTTGTACATGCTCCAAGGTCCTTCCTTGTGGGCTGTGCATAGTGACTTTGTTCTAAAGGAAGCAAAAATGCAGTTTTACAGTGGAGAAAGTTGACAAACACTGCCTTAGCCAGGTGACCGAGGTCAATATCAACAGTGACAGGTCATGCTGATAGCATGGAATCCTGATGTGATGTGATCTTCTTTGCTGAAGACACATAGCCCTTGTCTAATGATGAGAACGACATCAGAAAAATTCCAACTGGGGACAGTCTACAAAACTCCTGACCAGTACCCCTCAAAGCTGTCAAGGTCATCAAAAACAAGGAAAGAGCCTGACACCAGTGGCTCATATCTGTAATCCTTGCTACTTGGGAGGCTGAGATCCAGAGGCTTGCGGTTCGAGGCCAGCCCAGCAAATCGTTTGCAAGACCACATCTCCAAAAATAACTGGATCAAAATGTACTTGAGGTGTGGCTCAAGTGGTAGAGTGCCTGCTTTGCAAGTGTGAAGCTCTGAGTTCAAACTCCAGGTCCACCAAAAACAAACAAACAAAAACAAGAAAGTATGAGAAACTTTCACAGCCAAGAGGAGCCTAGGAGACCTGGTGACTAAGTGTTTTGTGGGATCTAGACAGGATCCTGAAGCAAAAAAAGGGCGCTGGGGCAAACCAGGGAAATTTCAATAAATTACAGGATATAGTTAATAAGAATGTATCAATATTGGCCCTTTAACTGTGGACAAGTGTACCATAGCAATGTAAGATGTTCACCAAGGAGAGAACTGGGTGCCGGGTAGATAGTAACCCTGTATTCTTCACACAATTTTGCTGTCATTTTAAAACTTCTAAAATTAAAAGTCTATTTTAGGGGCTTGGACTGTAGCCCAGTAGTAGAACACCTGCCTACACGCAAAAGGCCCTGGGTTCAATCCTTAGCACTAAAAATAAAAAAATGAAATAAATAATAAAATAAAATAAAAATAAATAAAATAAAATAAGACTAGTGGAGTGGCTTAAGTGGTAGAGCACCTGCCTAACAATCATGAGACCCTGAGTTCAAAACTCCCATACTGCCAAAAAAATTAATTAAATAAAATAATAAAAGGGTTTTTTTCCCCTGTTTTTTGTTTTGTTTTGTTGAGACAAGTTCTTACTATGTAGCCCAGGCTGGCCTTGAACTCATGATCCTCCTGCCTCAGCTTCCCAAGTGCTTGGGATTCCAGATGTGCACCACCATGCCCTGCTAAAAATATTTATTTTGACAGTATAGAATAATTGAGATGATTCTTCCTACCGCTGGCTAATGAGAGCCCGAAGTGGGGGAGATAAGGTTCTGGGAGGCCCTGTGATTTACCTCAAGTGGGAATTAATTGTTCTCACCCTGTTGGGTCCCTTTCTACAGCCTGGTGCAGCCTGCAGACTCCTTTCCAAAGTAACATTTCCAAAAATATTAGTATTATTATTATTACTTGGTATTGCTGATGGAATGCAGGACCTTCTGCATACTGGTCAAGGGCTCTACCACCAGTCTGTAATGCTTTTCTTGTGTGTTTGACACTGGGGTTTGAACTCAGGTCTTTGTACTTGCTTGGTAAGCACTCTACTACTTGAGCCACTCCTCCAGTCCTGTAATACTTTAAATATACAAAATAAGCCAGGGATGGTAGTCACGCCTGTAATCCCAGCACTAAGGAGACTGAGGAAGGAGGATCAAGGGTTTGAGTCTGTGTTCCAAAAATAAAAAAAATAGTGGGTTGGGGATATAGCTCAGTGATGGAGAGATTGCTTTGCATTCACCAGGCCCTAGGTTTGATCCTCAGCACTACAAAGAATAAAATCACAAGAAAAATGTGTAGGGTTCCATGGAAACAAGTTAAATTGAAATACAGGTAAAAGATATTTAGAAAGCAAATCCCTGATAGTTATATATGTATTTTTAACAAAAATAATTTTCAAATAGTGATGAGACTTGTTTCCTGTTATCACAACGCTATGACAATACCTGTAATTTCTGTGGGTGACCTAAGTCACAGGTCCTGATAATCCCATTGTGGTGTTTTCTCTTCATTTTTTTTAAAGGATTTTTTTTTTTTTTTTTTTTGAGATCGGGTTTTGCTGTGTAGCCCAGACTGGCCTTGAACCTGTGATCCTCTTGCCTTAGGATCCCAGGCATGCATCCCATGCCTGGCTAAAATAGTTTTTATTAGTTTCAATTTGAAGAATTTTCTTTTTCTTACAAAGAGGTTCTTGTGGACAGGGCCACTCAGGGTGAGACTCAGGACCTGGAGCTGGTGGGCCTGGCAGGTGAAGAAAGACTGCAGATATGGCCCTTGGGTCCTCTTGGTTTTCACCTGTCAGGCAAGGTGAGGCTTGGCCTGCAGAAGGAGGCTGCAGGACAAGGATCAGTTTAGGAGAGGCCAAGAATCTGAGAAGAAATTAGTGCATGTGAGTTTCCTGGGGCTGCTGTAACAAATCGAGTGGCTTAAAAGTACCATAAACCTGGTGTCTTAAAAACAACAGAATCTTGGGTACCGCATACACGCATGCCAAAGACAAAACAAAAATCCAGAAATGTATTCTTTTTGTCGTTGCTGGGGACTGAGGTCTGAACTCAGGGTTTTCCACATGCAAAGCAGGCATTCTACCACTCCAGTCCATTTTGCTCTGGTTATTTGGAGATGGGGGGTCTCACAACTATTTGCCCAGGCTGGACTAGAATCTCGAGCCTCCTGATCTCAGCCTCCCAAGTAGCTAGGATTACAGGCGTGAGCCACTGGTGCTGGACCTGAAGTGTATTCTTTCACAATTCAGGAAACTCAAATCTGCAATGGAGATGTCAACAGGGCTGTTTCCTTCTAGAGGATTTGAAGAATCTGTCCCATGTTTGACTCATCTGTCCCATGCTGTCCTCCAGCTTCTGATGGTGGCTGGCATTCCTTAGTTTATGGAGGTATTCCTCTAATATTGCCCTGTTATCACATGTCCTATTTTCTGTGTGTGTTTTGTTTTTTTTTTTGTGTGTGTTGAGGTTGAATCCGGGTCCTTGTGAATGCTAAGCACACATTCTACCACTAAGCTAAGCTCCAGCCCCCAATTTTCTCTTTCTAAGGACACCAGTCAGTGGATTGTGGCCACCCTACCCCAGTATGTCCTCATTTTACTTGGTTATATTTGCTGAGACCGTGTTTTTAAATTAGGTCACAGTCACAGGCACAGGGCTTAAGACCTGAACATAGCACTGAGGGGCCACACAATTCAACCCATAGCAGTGCATAGGCCCACAAAGTTTAAAGAGAGTGCCCAGGCCAGTGGTGACAAGGTCATGTGTGTCCATCCAGCTTCCTGTCCCTCTCTGTATTCTGGGACCCTATCCTTTCCCCATGCTTCAGAACTTACTGCTGCCACCACCCCAGCTCCTTGCCTACCCCTCCTATCTGGCCTGCATCGCTGCCTCTGTTTACCAGTTCTCTGAGTTTAGAAGTGGAAAAATCCCTTTAGGTCACTGAGAACAGTTTGGAAGTTTAAGAAGGCACTTAACAAAATAGTAACCAAAGGGAAAACATAAGCAAACAGTAAAAAGAGGAGAAACAGATTGCTGTTCAGAGTCCTTATCCTGATGTGCCTGCCAAACTGCAGGGCAGGCCTGTGACCCCTGTCAGATTTTTTTTTTTCATTGCTGGGGATTGAATCCAGAGCCTTGTTTTTGTGCTAGGCGGACACTCTACCACTGAGCTACATCCCAGTCCTGAAGGTGCTTTTTGTTTTTTTAAAAAAAGCAGCTTTAGCTGGGCACCAATAGTTTATGCCTATAATCCTAGCTGCTTGGGAGGCTGTGATCAGAGGATTGTGCTTTGAGGCCAGCCCAGGCAAATAGTTCATGGGACCTCCATCTCCAAGAATAACCAGATCAAAATGGACTGGAGGTTTGGCTCAAGCAGTAGAGCACCTGCTTTGCAAGCACAAAGCCCTGGGTTCAAACCCCAGTCCCATCAAAAACAAAAACAAAAAAAGCTTTGTTAAGAAATCATTCGGAGCTAGGCATTATGGAGCATGCCTGTAATTCCCAACACTCTGGGGGTGAAGGCAGGAGGGTTAAGAGTTCTAAGCCACTCTGGGCTAAAAAATGAATTTGAGGCCTGTCTGGGTTATTTAGTGAGACCCTGTCTCAGAAAAAGAAAGAAACAAAGAACTCACATACCATAAAATTCAAGTATTTAAAGCATACAATCCGTCTGGGCGTGGTGGACCACATCTGTAATCCCAGCGTTTGGGAGGCAGAGGCAGGAAGAGTGTGAATTTGAGGCCTGCCTGGGCTACATAGTGAGACCCTGTCTCAAAAAAAGAAAAAAAGAGTCTACGATCTGATGCTTTTTGGGGGTATTCACGGGATTCTTTGTGTGGGGTGTCTTGGGGGATGTAGGAGAGTAAGTAACATCTCCAGTCTTTACCCTCTAGTGCCATCTCAGTGATGACAGTGAAAATTGTCTCTGCACATTGCCCAGGTACCCTGGGGCTGAATCTCTCAGTTGAGGGCCATTGCTTTATCCAAGTTAGCCAGGTTTCCCCTCACTTTTTCGGGGAGCTCTTGTTCCTCCTGACCCACAGAAAGACAGGTGATGCCCCTCAGTCCCTACCACCTGTGTGGACAAGGCTTTGCACATCAAGCCCTTCACAGGCCCCTCTGGTTGCCCCTACCTGGGCTCGGCCATCCAAGGCTTTGTGGATGGTCTGGGGTCCGGATGGACCGTGCGGAGTGACAAAGAAGAAATAGTCAGTCTACCCTAGAAATGAGGCCTGTACATGACAAGCCCTGCCTTCGTTATTTAGGGCTACTGTGACAGAGGACCAGAGGCTGGATGGCTTGTAGAGAACAGACATTTATTTCCAGAGGCTGGAAGTCTGAGATCAGGGAAAAAGCACAGACAGGTTCTGGGGATGGCCCTTTCTATGGCTGCAGACTGCTGACCTTGTGTCCTCCTCTGGCAGAAAGAGAGCCAGAGAGCTCTCTGGGCCTCCTCTGTAAGGTCACTCATCTCCTTCATGAGGGGCCCACTCTCATTACGTCATCATCTCCCAAGGGCCTTACCCCTAATTCCATGCCCTTGACAGTTTGGGTTTCAACATGTGAATTCCAGAAGAATGCATCTTTGGATCATTGCAACCCCCTCTTAGGTAGGGAGCAAATGCCAAAAGAGAGGGGCAGTGATGCCTGGGGATCTGCAGAGGAGGGTGGGGAACCATGAGAGTGGCATTTGAGCTGGGCTGTCCAGGGCTGCTGGGATTCAGAGACAGGGTGGGAAAAATCTGGGCAGAGCAGCAGAGGGAGCTGGCCTGGGCTGGGCGCGTCCCGCTTGGCAGGAAGGCAGATAATGAGTTCCATACGTTGGTATCCATGGGAGTGCTTGATCATGACCTGCCTTGTTTGCAAGATCCAGGAGTGGGTGGGAGGCCAGCACCAGTGCCACTCTGGGGCTTGACAGCCTGGCTGCCTGGGTTTGCTGAGACCACAGACATGCCTGGTTCTGGAGGGAAGGGGCTGCTTTCAGGTTGGGGGGTACAACCCAGATGACCCTTGGTTCTTCATTCAGCAGCCTCTGTCTCCTAGGCTTGAGAAGATCCAGTCCAGGGAGGAAAAAGTGGAGATGGGATTTGTCAGGGTGGTGGCATCTGGTAGCTCACTTCTGTTATCATAGTCTCAAAGTCATTTCGAATGTTTAAAATCTTTTTGGATGGATTGGCTATTAGGGGCACCTTTGAACTCTGCAGGAACCTGTTCAGACCTCAGGGGTGGGGATGGGAATCTGATAGGTTCCATATTTTACCATAGCAAGGTCTGAGGGGAGGTCAGGGAAGGGACAGATGAATAATCCTAAACTTCCTGACTCTCATGCTGTAGCACTGCTTAAAAAAAAAGTCAAACAAACAAGCTAAAAACAGTCCAACCAATGAGTGTGAATAGCAAGACTTTCCTAACTCGTGTGTGTGTGTGTGTATTTGGCCGTACTGGGGATTGAACTCAGGGCTTCAAGTTTGCTAGGCAAGCACTCTGCCAGTCCTTTTGCTTTAGCTCATTTTACAGCCAGTGTCTTCCTAACATTTTCCTTAGGCTAGCGTGAACCCAGACCCTCCTTCCTTTTTTTTAATCTACTTGTATTTCTGAAAGGGGATCCAATATTGCACCAGAATAGCACTGGTTTTCTGTTTTGTTTTTTTAAATTTAGGAATGGGATGTGGTGGTACACAACTATAATCCCAGTACTTGGGAGGCTCTGGCAGGAGGATCGAGAATTCAAGGCCAACCTGAATGACACAGTGAGACTGTATCTCAAAAAAAAAAAAACCAAAAACAAAAATTTCTCCAAACCTAGCAGACCCTGTGCACCTGCCCCAAGTTCCTGCTCCAAATGGACAGCCAGCGTCGACGCTTCTAAGGGTTTTTTGTTTTCTTTTTCTTTTTTTTCTCTTTTGCAGTACCAGGGCTCGAACTCAGGGCCTTCACCTTGAGCCACTCCAACACCCCTGTGTTTGTGAAGGGTTTTTCAAGATAGGGTCTCGTGAACTATTTGCCCAGGCTGGCTTCGAACTTTGATCCTCCTGATCTTTGCCTCCTGAGTAGCTAGGATTACAGGCGTGAGCCACCGGCTCCCATTTGTGCCCAACTTTTTATTGGTTGAGATGAGGACTCACTAACTTTTTACCTGGGCTGACCTTGAGAAAGACCCTCTTGATGTCCACCTCCTGAATAGCTAGGTTCATATTCAGCAGTTAGAACCCTTCCCACCTTAGCAGCCTCGCTGGAAGGTCCTCACCCAGGGCACCAGTCAGAGCCCTGCCTTGCTCTTGGACAGACAGCCTGGAGGCCAGAAGGAGGGACATAAGATAGAGTTTACAGCTGTGGCAGGGACAGGGCTATGATGGGTGAGGAGTGGGACCGATTTTTTTTACTTTGCTACAAATGTAGGTTGATGGCTGGAGGCATGGCTCAAGAGGTGGACTGTCTCCTGCCTTGCAAGTGGGAAGCCCTGAATTCAAACCCCAGTACCGCCAATAAATAATAAATAAATAAATAATAAATAAATAAATAAAAGAGGGGGAGGAGGGATGACAAACGCAGGCTGAATATACCTTATCTGAAAGGTTTATGACCAAAAGTGTGTCAAGAGTTTGGCTTTGGGAACATTTGTATATAATGTAAGATATTGTGGGGATAGGATGAAGTTTAAATAGGAAACTCATTTGTTTCAGATACACCTTCTTCACACAGCCTTTTTTTTTTTTTTTGGTGACACTGTGGTTTGAACTCAGGGTCTCACACTTGGTAGGCAGGTGTCAGAAATAAGACCCCCAAAGACTACCGGAGCCACAACTGAAGACACAGAATGGGACAATTGTCTCGGCAAGGCAAAATTTACTTCTGCAGAAGGGTGCGCAGGTACTACGGTACAGCAAGCACACAGAGCAGGCAGTCTGTCCTCTTTTTATTCCCAACTCAGTGGGTCCTGGGTCCTGCCCTTTTACTCGGATTGGTCGAGCTCGGGTTCACCATCTGTTTGTGATTGGCTGAAATTTGACACTAGCCCAGGAGAGGAGCTAGCAGTTGCAGTTTGGTGGCCAAGTCTGGCTACAAACGGGACATAACAGAATCTAGAACCCAGAACTGCAAGCAGTCGCGATGGCAGCACACTTTGACTGTTTCCCTCACACAGGCACTCTTGCCTCCTGAACCATTCCATCACACAGTGGCAATTTTATACGATATTTTTAGTCTCCCTGCGTTTTGACTGTGACCTGTCATGAGGAAGGGGGAGAGGGAGTTTCCACTTGTGGTGTCATGTCAGAACTCAAAATGTTTCAGATTTTGAATTTCAAAATTTCAGATTAGGGCTGGGCGCCCATGGCTCACATGTGTAGTCCTAGCTACTTGAGAGGCTGAGGTCTGGAGGATTACTGCTGGAGGTCAGCCCAGGCAAATAGTTCTCTAGGCCCCCATCTCCAAAATAACCAGAGCAAAATGGACTGGAGGTGCAGCTCAACATTAGAGCACCTGTTTTGTAAGTGTGAAGCCCTGAGTTCAAACCCCAGTCCAGTCTCCCCACCAAAAATTCATGTTTTTCCTATTTTTTTTTGGGGGGGGTGGATATATTTTTGCATATATTAGCCTTTCTAAAAAAACTTTGTGAAATATTTATTCTCGAGTATATAAAATATAGATGTATGTTTAAGAAATTACAAAGCAGGGCTGGGAGTGTGGCTCAAGTGGTAGAGCACTTGCCTAGCAAGTTAAAATCCCAGTGGGGGCGAGGGGAAGGAAAGCCCTGTACTGCATCCCCAGTAATGCAGAAATTAAAAACCAAGGGCTGGTAGAGTGGCTCAAGTGGTAGAGCACCTGCCTGGCAAGTGTGAGGCCCGGAGTTCAAACCCCAGTGCCACAAAACAAAACAAAAAACCCTGCCTTATGACCCATCAACCCCACTTCTGGAAATGTGACTAAAAACATTACAGTGATCTTCATGGAAGCATGTTCTGGAATAACAGAAAACCAAATCAAAACAAAGGCGCTCACGGCTGCCAGCATTTCCAATCCATTGCTGCCTCGATCCCCACAACCCACGGGGTGGGGCAATGGGAGGCTGCGCTTCAGTGACCTAAGTCAAGTGGTCAGTGACAATGTGGGGGCAAGGCAGTCATGTGACTCAAGGTTGCTTCATTGTGGCCTTTTGTATTCAAAAACATGTTTGAATGCTCACTGCCTCCTGACAGATAATTCCACTTTGGCAATTTAGTGTTAAGTACAAAACCACACACAGCCACAGCTTCCTGGTAGAGAACATTCACGCATCAGCACAGCACTTTTTTTTTTTTTTTTTTTTTTTGTGGTGCCGGGGCTGGAGCCCGGGCAGGCAGGTGCTCCACCATCTGAGCCGCACGCCTAGTCCTTTTTGCTTCGGTTATTTTTCAGGTAGAGTCTCACTTTTTGGCCAGGCCAGCCTGAGATCGCCATCCTTCTACCTTCGCCTCCCATGCAGCTGGATTGCAGGTGTGCACCATTCACACCCAGCTTGTTGAGATGGAGGTCTACCTTTTTGCTTGGGTTGGACTCAAACCATGATCCTATTTTTGCCTTCCAAGTAACTGGGATTACAAGTGTAAGCCATATACTTGGTGATTTACCCCCAAATGGGTAAATCACTTCGACAGTCCTTAGAATGTCCCTCTGAATCATTGTGGCTCACCTCCCCACCCACAAGCTGTTTCTGGCCCATCTGGTCTTCCTGGGAGGTGAACTGGGTTGAGAGGTGTTATTTTGTCCCACATGCCATCCTGTAAGCCCAGGAGCACTCTGGGCACTTATAACCCGTAAAGCTGAAGGAGTGCTGAGAACTGGGCTCTTCTTGGGGGCCAGGGTTTCTAATTTTATCCCCTTCCAAATAAATGGCTGGAAAAGCAAACTCCAGTTTGGGAGCTCCCACCCACCTCTCTCCGTGTCAACAGAGGCCAACACCAGTCCTTTCAGAACTGTGGCCTCGGGTCCCCAGGGCAGAGGCTGGGAGCTTTGGGAACATAGGCAGGAGGCACTTGTTCCTAACCAGGGCTCCATTCTATCTATGCCATCAGCTGAGCCCTGAGGCCACTTTCTGGGACCCTGGAGGGAGGCTGGTCTCAGGCTGATGACACAGAGTGAGGGACCTCCCCTCCAGGAGCCAGAAGATTGGGTGGAGAGGCCGGCTGAAGAGGGCATGGAAGGTGTGTAGGGGCTGGGTATGCGGCTCCAGGCTATAGAAGGTGAGTTTGCCAAAATCCAAGTCCAAATCCATACCCAGAAGCCGTCCAGACACCCTGGGGAGGCGCTGGACCTTACCATTGTGCCAGGCCTGGACACTGTTCTCCTTAATGCAGAGGCCCCAGGAGCAGGGGCCGCGGCCAATGTTGTCTGTGTGAGTTCCCTGCTTGTGTCGGGACAGTTCAGGGTAGGTGACACCCAATGTCACTGAATGGTCAGAGGTGCGCACCTCCCAGTAGTGCCGCCCAGCCTGGAAACTCTGTGTGCACTGCACCTGCCAGAGCTCGAAGCTGCCTGGTCTAGCTGGACGCTGGGGCTCACGATGGTGCTTCACCTGCTGGTCCTGGTGGGACAGGTAGAAGTGGCAGTTGGCACTGTCCAGGTCAAAGGTCAGGTTGCGATAATCTATTGGGGACAAAGACAGAGGTGGGCAAAGGTGCCATTCTGTCCAGAGGGGAGAGAACAGTTGCAGTATGGCCACTTGGTGTCTGCCAGGTGTACTGCAGGACCTCATCACAGCATTTAATTCCTCATTGCTACCTCTAAGCTGGAATCTTCTATATGCCCCATTTCATAGAGGAGAGGCTGAGGCCCAGAGAAGAATCAGGATGGATCCCAGGTCCATGTGACCAGAAACCATGCTTTAACTATGCTGGCTGCACCTGCTTTAAGGTGGTAGATGAAGTGTACATCCCGCAACAGCAGTGCAGGGGTGGGACCAGACCCAGGAAGGGCCATGGAAGAGACACCCTAGGTAGTCATGGCAGGTTTCCCCCAACCTGCTCACACATGCACATTCAGGCACATGCACACATATACTCACACATGCACACAAACATGTACACATGGGTATACACACAGGCACTGGGCCTCCTTACTGTGCCAGAGTTTCTTCCTCAGTGGACACACCACGCTTGGGACCAATGCCAGGGGATTCAGGGCCTCTACGGAAGCAGAAAGGGAGGTTAGTGAAGGTGAGTCCTGACCCTCTCCTCCTCGCTAGTGGAAGGGACAACTGTGGCCAGAAGGGTAGGGAAAGGTCTGGAGTTAGTCTTACCCTGGGGTGCTGAGTCAGCAGTCTTAACTGGCACACTGGAGGGGCTCTCCTCTTCCAGGAGGAGGACACATAGTGGGCTCAGTGACTCATTCAGATCACCCAGCTGCTTGTCTTCGTTCCACTGCAGAGGGGTTTGTGGCCAAAGGGGCTCTGGGGGCTCAATGAGCTGCTGTGACTCCTGAGCCCAAGGGACAACTGCAGTGAGCCCAGGCCTGACGCAGGGAAGCAGGGTCCCAGCCCACTGCCCTGAGGTCTGATACCTGGAGGAAGGTCTGGTCATTTCCCTGCTCCAGGAGCTCTTGAACCCTGTTGCCATACTGAGACAGAGCCTCCAGGTGGCCCTGCAGTAGCTGTTCTCCATCCCTGACCTGTGCCAGTGCCTGCATCTTGGCTGCTTCTATGCCCCTCAGCGCCAAGGCCTGCCGCATCTTCAGAGCCTGCAACAGGCAGCTGAATTTGCTGGAAATTGCTGAGGCCAGGGTGCAGGCTGAGCTCTGTGTGGACACAGGAGGAGCCTTAGCGAGGGCATGTTTGGCACCACACACACCAAGGCAAGCTAGGGCAAGGGTCACCCATTGGGCTGAGGGGTGGGATGTGGGCAGCCACAGTCTCTCCAGTCCCTTCCCTCCGGGCGCACCACTTCCTGCTCAGCCCTTCCTTCCCTGATGCCAGGAGGCATTTTCAAGGTAGCTTACACCTGCTACCTGTGTCCCAGAGACCAGCTGGTGGGACAGTGTGAGGATGACACTGCAACAGGCCTTGTACCTGGATCTGGCTGCTTTGCTGCTGCAGCTCCTGTAGCTGGGTAGTAGCCTGAATGGCCTGTTGCTGGGTGACTTCCAGTCTGGCTCTCAGTTGGGCCTGTGGTGTCCGTCCCGTGGACAAGCAGGGAGAGAGGGACAGGATTGAGTGTGAGGTCCACCCGAGACCTCCAACACCTGCAGGTTCTAGGCACCCTCTTTGTGCCAACACAGCCAGCCCAGAATGCAAAGCAGCAGTTTTGCAGGTCAGAGTCACAGGGAAGTCTGCACAAAGCTCCTTCCCCACAGCAAGGATGGTGGCTGGGCAGTGCAGAAGTCTTGGGCTGAAGACACAATTTCCAGCCCCACTTTCTGCTTCTTACAGACTGAGCAACCTAGGGCTGAGCTCCTACCTTCTCTGGGCTGTAACTGCTCCCCTACCCCTCAATCAACAGATGGGAGCAATAATGCTGGTTTCAGTGGTCTGGTGGGGAAGGGGTGATGATCCAAGCACCAGAGGTGTCAGACAGTTGGGCAGTTTGATGCATAAAGGCCTGAGGGGGAAGAGGGAACCATTACTGGTTGTGCCCCAATTCCCCTGAGTGCCCTTTTGCTGGTTGTGGTGGCTCAAGCTATAATCATGAGGCAAAGAGGACGAGGCAGGAGGATTGTTAGCTGGAAATGATGTGCTCTTGTGGAAGCAGGGTGGGCCATGCTCGTGACAGGAACCCTGTATCCTGGCCATCTGCTAGGACACGGTTCCTCGCACCTGGTCAAGAGCCTCACTACTTGCTTTTACTTCTTCCAACACCACTTGGATGTGGGGACCATTATTATATCCCCTTCTGAGGAGGAAATGGACTCAGAGAAGTTGATAGTTTGGTCCAAGTCCTCAGATCTTCCGAAGTCCAGTCTGTGCCTTTTGTCCAACCCCCCCAGCACCGCACCTCCTGTGAATGCGGGAAGTGGGCAACAGGTCCTCCTGGCTCACTGGACTCTGGTGCAGGGACAAGACTCTATCCCATCAGTCCTTGGGGTGCCCTCCTCCCTCCCCTTCACTGCCTCTTCTCTCAAGCAAAATCCTGCTCCTCTGGAGGGCATGGACCTTTCTCCTTGCTGAAGGCTCCCTGCCTCCACTGCACTTTGTGCCCAGATCAATCTCCGATTACCATAAGCAGTGACATGTCTTCCTCACAGATTACCACAGGATTACCGTTCCACACTCTGAAGTCCCTTTCCTGCACTTTATCTCAGCCACTCCTGTGACCTCACCCTGGCCCTGTCATCACCTCTGAAATCTGCTGTAAGCATTCATTCTTAAACCTTCTCACACCCCTCACTTGTTCCAGCTGTTGAAGTCCCTTCATCAGCAGACCCCAGCCATGTCCCTCATTCTGTCCATCGGGCCTCCTGACCACCCCTTTCCTTTCTGTCCACATGCCATCATCCTGCCACTTCCTAAAACACACCTTTCCTTGCCTCCTCCTCTGTCCCATCTCCAGTAAATTTAGCCCCACAACCTCCTTTCCTTGAAACAGCCATGGTGGCAATTCCAATGGTCATTTTTGTCCTCATATGCTCTCGCAGCAGCATGACGCACTCTGGACCTCACTTTTCCCACAACCGGCTGTGTTCTGGCCACTACATGGTTCACTCTCTCCTAGCTCCGCTTGGTGTGATCACAGGCAGGGGCTCCTCTGCCCAGGAAAAGATTCCACTCCTTCTTAAGGACCTTCAATGACTCTTAACTTCCTCCTTCCTGGCTAAATCACCTCTGAGTTCTCAGCTGATGCCAGTGATCCCTCTCCTGGTTTGTTCCACTGATAACCCCAACCCCCAAGTATCCAAAACCAAACTGCTTTCCACCCATACTTCTCAGCCACCCACTTGCTTAAGACAGAAGCCCATTCTCCCTAGCTTCCCACTCTGGTCCCCAGCTTCTCCCCTCCATAAGGTACTCTGATGCTCATTCACTTATTCTCTTTCTTGGCAGTACTAGGGCTTGAACTCAGGACCTCACACTTGCTAGACTTTCTAGACAGGTGCTCACTTGAGCCACTCCACCAGCCTCACTCATTGTTTTTCATCTCCTGATCATTTCTGCCTTCCTGCTGCCACCTACCTGTCTGTTTGATATCCTGCTCCCGCCACACCCCAGCAGGGGATCAACCTCCATAAAGCAGAAATCTGATTTCATGGCTGCCCTGTTCCAAACTTGCTTGTTCCACGCCCCTAGAGGAAAAGCCAGCTCCTCACTTCTGCCCTCCTTTTCCTTCATGGTCTGGCCCCCTGCTGACTTCAGGACCTCTACTCAGCGATCCCCAGGGATCTACCTCCTGTCCATCGCCCCATTCTTCACTACCATGGCCCGGTGCACCGCCTCCATGGTGGCCAAGGCTCGCGGTTGGTCCTCCCTCAGCCCTCACTGATCACCTCAAGGCCACCTCCTCTTCCTCCTTCTGGTCCCCTAAGCGGGTCACCCTGTTGCCTTTACTGCAGTGCACAGTGTTTTCCTTACTGCCTGTTGCAATGATCACGCCTTACGGGATTGCACGACCCTTAAGTAGGTCCTGTCTCTCTCAGTGTCAGGGACCACAGGTGACTAACATTCACCCCACTCTCAGCGTCCCATGCTGTGGGCGCTCCGCACACATTCAAGGCATGAAAGAACCACGGGGAGCACCTGCCACCCACCCTGGCTTTGCTCCCATTTGGAGGACCGTCCGAGCGGCCCGGAGACCCTCCCGGGGGCCTTGGCCATCCCCGGGCGTCGGGGGCAGGCACGGAGCCTCCACCCTCACAGCTAATCCGGGTTCTGGCCCGGCCCTCCCGCCGGCGGCGTCACCTGGCGCTCGCGGCGCTCGACGTCCAGCAGCGCGCGCTCGTGGAGGCGGCAGTCGTACACGGTGCAGGCGCTGCACACGCAGAGGCCCTCGGTGCGGCAGAAGAGCTCGAGCGGCCGCCCGTGGCGGGGGCAGCGCGCACCGGCGCCGGGCTCGGGCTCGGGCTCGGGGCCCTCGGCCGGGGCGGGCACGCGCAGCGTCTCCACCACGTCGCTGAGCGCCACATTGCGGCTGGGCTCGGCGCCGTCGGGGAAGGGCTTGCGGCACTCGGGGCACGTCTTCTCGCAGCGGCGCCACACGTTCCGGATGCAGTCCCCGCAGTAGTTGTGGCCGCAGGGCAGCGTCACTGGGTTCCGGTAGAGCCCCAAGCAGATGGAGCAGGTGAGCTTCTCCTCCAGCAGCTGCGAGGCCATGGCTGAGGCGGGAGTGGGGCTCGGGCCGCCGGGCTCCTAAAGGGACGGCGGGCGCCGGCGTGGGCGTGGGCGCGGGCGCGGCCGCCTCTTCCTGGAAAACGCTGGTGCTGGCGCCGCCCTCCGTGCTCTTTTCGAGAGCGACCGGCAGCCTGCCGGGGCCCAGGCCACCCTGCCCGCCTCCTGTCCCCTGGGCTGGCTCTCTCGGGTCCCCCCCGGCACCTCCGCACCACTTCGCTAGACCCTCGGCCCTTTCGCTCCTGGCAACCTCTTGGCAAGACCACGATGGAACTTCCCCAGGGAGACCGCGGTGATGAAATGAAAAAGCAGGCAGAAGGGCCGGCCCGGGACCCCAGAGCACACTAGGGCTCCCTCCCCACCCAGCGCGCTCTGCAGCACTTCTGGAGCTGAGTTTCAGGCAATTGGCACATTGCGATGGCTCCCTTCTTTGGGATACGCACAATTTTGGTTCTTTTAAAGTAAATGCGATGCACATATGAGTAATAAAAAAATAAAAATTAAAAAAATAAATGAGATGGAAATTTCTGGTCACTAGGAGAGAAACAAGTCTTTTTTTTTTTCTTTCTTCCAAGAGCCCCTTTAGTGGACATTACGTAACCTCCACCTGTCCCTCTGTGTGACCCATACTGGAGAGTGCCTGGTCTGGCATCCCACGCTGTTCAGGCCGCTCTGCCCTGAGGTTGAGCAGTGGGCTGGTGGGGTCCCTAAGCATTTGCCCATAGCCTCCCTAGGCAGTGGGGTCTGGCCAGGGGAATCCAAGCAGGCGTAGGTTCCTTCTAGACCAACAGGCCTGGTTTTGAGGCGTCATCTCATTGGGATGTAGTAAACACCATGTCCCCTGCAAAATGGATACTGGAGGTGACAGATTTCCCTCCCCTTGGCCTGCTACATGGCTGCCTCGGTTGAAAGGAAAACATCCAGGGTCCAGGGCCATGGCTCAAGATTTTTTTGCATGTGTACGCAGTACTGGGGTTTGAACTCAGGGACAACACGTTGAGCCACTCCACCCTTTTTTTGTGATAGGTTTTTCCAGGATAGGGTCTCACAAAATATCTGCCCATGCTGGCTTCGAAATGCAACTCTCCTTTTCCCTGCCTCCTGAGTAGCTAGGATTACAGGCAAGAGCCACCAGCACCCAGCAAGATCTGCCATCTTGAAAGGCACCAATGATCAGGGCTGGCAGATCTCTTTCAAGGAACTGGAGCTTAGGGGACCCACCAAGTTCCACTGCCTTATTTTTCCATAGGAATATTCAGCCCCTGGATCACAGAGTCCTGACCGCGTCACGTGGTGGAGTGTGGGGGGGGTCACAACATGATGGTCCCACCAGGGGCTCTGCTCCTGAACCATAGTTCTAGACCAGCAACAGCACAAATTATCTTTATTCACAACCCACTCATGTCTTTATCACAAGCCCTGGGCCTGACAGGAGGCCCACAGAAAGGCTGCCACAGGTGGGCCCAGACCCCACAGCTTGGCTCTCAGGCTGTCTCTCTTTTTTGCTGGCCTAGCCTGCTCTCCAAGGTGGGTGCACTCTGGTTCCTCAGTAGATGCCATAGGTAGGCTCATGACTGTCCCTGTACCGGTCCAGGTATCGCAGGGGCTGCCGGTGGGGAAAGCGCTTCTGCTTGGGGTGGTAAGGGGGCGGCCTCACAAACTCAAACACAGGCTCCCGCATGTCTGCAAAAAGAGTGAAGGGCTTGGGAACACTTCTGCTGCCTGAGTTCCTCGTCTGAGGCTGGAGTCCAGCCAGGACTGCCCACAAAAGATAGAGGCCTGCCACAGCAAGAGACAGAGCGAAAGAGGTCTGTACTCAGGCCCATCCCACCACCCCAACCCCATCCTGCCCTTACCCAGAAGATGGTGGAAAGTGCTGGTGACAGAGTCATCCCAGCGGCACTGGAAGAAGGCCAGGCCAGCTGGAGTCATGGCTTTCTGGTGTTTATTGTAGAAATCAAAAGTGCGGAAGGTCCGCTGGGTCAGCTGGTAGCTATGAGAAGATGGGAAACATCTGAGTGGGGGTGGGGAGAGGCACCGGCTTTCTCCACCCCCATAGGCAATCCTGGTAATCTCCTTAGGGTCTGCTTAGCCTACTGCTCTGCTGCTAGTCTCAAGGCCTAGATCAAGACAGAGGAGGACAGAGCAAGAGCCACTATCCCAGGAGAGCAGGCCTAAGGCCTGGGGTATACATGTGGGGCACACATTACCAGGGTGAGGGGCGGGTGTCCTCAGAGAAGTCAATTGGCTTGTCCTGCTTGAAGAGCAGGAAGGCAAAGCGATGGAAGCCGGTGCCTCGGGCAGGGAAGGGGGGTAGGTAAGGACACGTCTCCTGTCCTTCAGCCACCCTGTTGCCCGGGATGTTGGTTCTGGTAGGAGGGAGGTGTCTGTTAACTGCTGCTCCAGTGAGGTGGTAGGAGAACCCCCAGTGTGTGTGCACCCTAGAGACTGCTGTCATTGTCTGAGGGGCAGACCCCGAGCGATCTCTAGCACTTGATAAGGTAGAAGTTGAGCTCCATGACGCCTTAGACATAATGCAGACGTGAACGGAAAGAAGGGGCTCAAGAGACTAAGGACAAGGTTCCAGAGACAGGAGGGATGACAAGGCTGAGCACCTGTTTACTAGGCCCTAGAAGCCAGGGGTTCTGTCCCAATCATTCAGTCTCCAAAGCCATTGGGCTGCTTCTCTGTTTCTGGGGCTCTGGGATCTTGTCAGGGAGTTTGCCCACTGTACCTGCACAGGTACAACTCCCCAGAGGGTCTTTTTTTTTTAATACTGGGGTTTGAAATCAGGGCCTATGTCACTCCACCAGCCTTTTTTGTGATGGATTTTTTTGATATAGGGTCTCATGAACTACTTGCCTCAGGCTGGCTTTGAACTCTGATCCTCTGATCTCTGCCTCCCGAGTAGCCAGGATTACAGATGTGAGCCATGGGTGCCTGGCTCCCCGAAGGGTTTTGTTGCATAGGTTAACTGTGGTTACCAGAAACCAGCATCCCTGTTGCAGTTACCCAAAAGTCCCAAAGTTTGGGGCACTTGCCTGACCTTTGCTCCCTGCCCTGGTGCAAAAAGTCAAAAGCCACTGAGAAAATAATGGGCAGCCCAGACTGCCCGGGGTAGGAATTCCATGGTTCACTGAATGCTTTCAGATGTCACAGCCGCCAGAGACCTCCCCCAGTCATCCTCTCTTTGACTGTTACAGTGCCCTTCAGTAGAAAAGGCCTGTGGTAGCATTATCCCAGTCCTAGAGCGAATGGCCAAGGCTCACTGCTGTTTTCCTCTGTACCTGTCTTCAAGGACACACCTGAATCACAGGGCCCCTGACACTATCGGGAGGCAAAGGTGAGGGGTTACCTCTTGATATGGGAAGTTAATCTAGGGTGGAGCCAAGACTGAAATTCAGGGGCAGTCCTAGTCAGGCTCTCAGGGCCTCGGCACTCCAACCCACCCCCTGGCCAGATACTTACATTAGCCAGTGGACGTACTCAGCGTCTGGTTCCAACAGGTGTCCATCTGCACAGAAACACACTCCACTAACCCGGGGTCCTGCACACTTTCTCTTGGAAGGAGTCAGGGCCAGAGTGCTTTACCCCAACCCTCCCTGCCCTGGGCCTTCGCTCATGAGAGGGAGGGGAGGTAGGAGGTCCAGTGAGCCCCAGATACCTACCCAAGTTGGTGAGCAGCAGTGTCCAGATGGATCCCTCATCTGTCCCATAGGTCACTTCTGGGGCCTGGGCAGCCTGCGAGGGAGAGAACAGGAGAGCTTACACCCCCACCAGGGACAGATAAGCTGTTGCAAGCAGAATTTCCTTCCAGAGGGCTGGAGCCTGACAGGACCCTGGAGAAGGAATTGCCCATTCTGACACAAACAAGGCTCAGACAGCTCCTCACAGAGACACAGAAACAAAGAGATGCCCAGGAGAAACCCTGTAGAATGATCTGTCCAAGATCGGAACCACAAAAAGGACCATGTGCTAAGGGACAGGGAACAGGCCAGTCCGAGGAACATGCAAAGACGGAGCTGGTTTTTCCAGTGTTTATAGTGTCTTTGCAACTGTCATAGTGTTGTTTCCCAGAGAATCCGAGAACAAAATCCCAAACCTAGGAGTTCACTATGTACACAGGGCAGTGAGAAGGGCCTAGCTAGTGGTACCTCAGTTGGAGTCACTTCATTGCCATGGTACACAGGCATCAGGTCGTCCTCACCCACAGCGTAAGTCACATGCAGGGGGACCCGGGGCACAAATGTGGCACCGTGGAACAGGTCTCGATAGAGGCCATAGTACTCAGCCAGACGCTGCTTGTGGTAGGGGCCGCAGGTCCTCTCCCACTCAGCCCGCACAGCCTCCAGTGGGATGCTGGCTGAGAAGGAATGAAGCCAGTTGAGATGCAGGGAGGGGGCAAGGATGCACCTAAGCCCCTCCCCTGGGAGGCTTACCTGTGCCCAGGCGGGCAGCCTGCTCCTCTTCCGAACTGGTCCGAAGTTCCTGGAGGATCCGTTTCCGTTCCACTAGCTGCTGGCGCCGGCAGACCTTGGGTGGAGGCAGCCCAATGTCAATTTTGTCTTTGGGATCTGGGGGTGCGAAGATGTGTTAGAACAAACAGGAGGATACACACTGGTGTCTTGGGTAGAATTAACAACTAAAGCTAGAAAAAGTTAAATGTTTTCCACACTTTAATGGGCAGATAAGCCACACAAATCATCTCTGAAATTTGTTTAAATTCAGATTTTGATCCAACTGGCAAAGGTGGGATTTGAGACTCTGTCAAACTCCTAGGTAATGACTGTGTTGCTGTCCCAAAACACATTTTTGATTAGCCAGACCTACAGACCTTCAATCCAACACCTTTGTCCATTTACCCACACCCAACATATTCTGAATCCCATCAGGGATGACCTTAATCTAGGAATTTCAGTGTACTGTATCCTTTAATCCTCGCAGCAACAGGTGATAGAGGCACAGTGATTTCATTTTACAATTGAGGAAACTGAAGCTTAGGGATATCACCCTTAGTTGTTGGGCTGAGGTTTAAATTAGGCTATTTAGATTTCATGCTTGCTCTTAAGCACCAGTAAACACTGCCTCTCTGAGCTGGGGGCGTTGCTCAGAGGTAGAGCCCTTGCCTAGTATGGGTGGTGCCCTCGTTTTGATTCCCAGCACGACAAAAACCAGAAACACCCACAAAAAAGTCTACCTCTATATAAATGCTTTCGAAAAGGAATGTACACAGTTAAGTGTAAGTTCCTTCAAGGCTGGGTTCTGAGTCACCTTGCTTAGGCTTTAATTTCATCTAGCAAATTACCGCACACCTAAGTGGCAGGTACTGTGTGGGTGCAAGGAAAAAGTAGGAAAGACAGGCAGAATCCCCGTTCACAAGGCGCTTACCATCTGAAAGTGGGAAAACAGGACAGTGTGTGGCCAGGGCTACAAGAGGAGTATTTTAGGAACACTGAGGGGTGTCCCAATTCGGAATGGGGGGAGAGGCTTAGAAAAGCTGGAACTCTTAATAACTGGAGGAGCAAAGATGGAGAAAAATCCTGGTAGGACTTAACGGGCAACAGTGCCCACCGGGGTGCAGGCAGCCCCTCCCCGGCCCCTGCAGCACACGCGGGCCAAGGCTCGCCCAATGTCGGGGCACAGATCGAGGCGGGGGGCTCCGAGGCCGGTGCTCGCAGCCCCTGCTTCCGTCGCTCCGCACCTGTCTTCTCCCCGAAATGTTCCCGGTAGGTCCGCCACCAGTGCGGGGCCTGCGCCTCCTCTTCCGCCCGGCGCCGGTAGCGGTCGAAACTCCGGTACTTCTCCAGCCGCTCCAGGTTGCTCACGTCGATGTCCTGGTTGGGCATGGGCCCCAGCGGTGCGGTCCGCCGGCTCACAGCGGCTGCGGACAGACAGCGGGCGTCACACCGGCTCCGGACCAGCCCTCGGAACCGAGGACAGGCGCTGGCTCGAACCCCAGGGCTCCGGCTACAAGGGATCAGGAGATTCCCAACCCTAGTCCTCTCACCCGAGGTGCTGAAGTCCCGCCATGCCCGACTCCCGTACAGCATGAATCGCCACCAGGGGGCCGCCATGTTTCCCCAGGCCTCCAAAGATGTGACTAGGACCCGTACAGAGCTGGCCAGAGCAGCGCCTGAACGCCCCGCGCCAGGCCCCGCCCCGCGCCAGGCCCCAGACTCCTTCCGGAGGCCCCAGACTCCTCCTTCCGGAGGCCCCAGACTCCTCCTTCCGGAGGCCGCAGCACCTTCCGCCTGGGCCGCCAGGGGCGGCGGGCTTTCTGGGTGCGGGGCGCCGGAAGTGCTAAGTGGACTGCTGCGCTGGGCTGCGAGCCGACACCAGGGGGCGGCAAAGACCCGGAGCGCTCCACCCCTCAGGATTCTCTTCACCCACCAGCCGCTCCTGAGGAGCTCCGCAGTGGCGCGGGAAGGGGGCGGGGGAGGCCGTGCACCACCCAATTCTGGAATCACACTGCTTGGCTTTAAATTTTAAGACTGTGACCTTCCCCCTGTAATTCTCTTACTTGGGTGAAAAAAAGCATGTAATATTAGTGCTTACCTGGTGAGGCTGTAAGGACCATAGTGAACATATAGAAGGCACTTGCACTGCGAAACATGTTAGCTCTTGATCATTCCCAACTTACCATTATCTACACAGCAGCATAAGGGATCTGGTTAAGGCATTCATGGGATCATATCTTTGCCAGGGTCCTGCAGTTGCGCTTGGGATCGAGATCCAAGAAAAAACTTCCCCTGGTGATCTGGACCCTCTTCTACCCCACCCCTGCCTCTGCCCTGGAACCCAAACTTGTAGCATAGTAAACCTTTTCTTGACAACTATCAATAAACCCTGCGCCCCAGGCTACAGGGCCTTTTTAAATTTTATTTTTATTTTATTATTTTATTTACACTCAGACTGGCCTTGAACTCGCTATGTAGCCCAGCCCAACCTGGAACTGTGGATCCTCCTGAGCTGGGATTACAGGTATGAACCACCACACAGGCTATTTCTCTTTCCCTTCCGTGGCTTGGCTGCCTCGCAGCACCAGTAGAGTGGTCCCTCGGGGACGCCTTCCCTGAGATACACAGGCCAGGGCCAGTGACAGTCAGTTGCCCTGTCACCAGCAACTTGCCCCTTGGAGCTCACACTGAAATGAAAGGAGGGTTCTCTCCACCCACCAGGAAGTGACCAAACCTTGGCTTTTCTAAATAGTAGACAAGCAACTAAACTCATCCTCACTTCTTTTCTTTTTTAAAATTTGTTCTTTATTTTCTTGTGGTGCTGGGGAATTGAACCCAGGGCTTTGTGCATGCTAGGTGAGCACTTTACCACTAAGCTACATCTCCAGCCCCTCATCGTCACTTCTAATTCACCTAATAGTGAGCACTTGCTGTCTGGTAGGTGTTAAGGGGATTCACAAATCAGTGACACCCAGGCCTGTCCTTCAGGAGTTGTTTAATTGTGCAATTCCTGCTGTGCTCAGTCCAACTGAAGGTTGTGAGCAGAACTCGACTGTGTGTTTACAGCGTGATCTCTTGATGTTTTACCTTTTCCTTCCCTGAATCCTCTTCTGCCGCTAAAGTCTACCCCTCCCCAGCCCTGCCTCTCTACAGATGAAGACACACAGGGCCTCTGGCACAGAGGCTCAACTAGGAGGCTTGTTCTCATTTTGATCTCCCTGTCCAGGAAGCCCCTAAAACTGGGGGCTTGCTGGGAGTTCAAGTTTTTCAGACTAGCATGGATTCCCACATGTATCAACCTGAAGCAGGTATTTTGCATGTGAGTAACTCTTGAAAACGGAAGCAGTGGTTCCACCAATAATTTGGGGGGGAGGGGCAGGATTTTACTATACATTCCATGCTGGTCTTGAACTCACTCTGTACCCAGGCTGCCTTGAATTCATGATCCTGCTCAGCCTCCAGGATGTTGGGATTGCAGGCACCAGCCACCAATGTTCTTTACCATTTATTTTCCACCAATCCTTCTCTCTAAAAGGAACTGAATGGAACATTTGGGTTACGATCCTGAGGAGCTTGCAGGAGGAAAAAGAAGCCCAGCAGATACCCACCACTTGTTCCTGTATGCAGCTTTCTACAATGTCTGAGGCTTGGGAGAAAGACAAGGGGATAATTAGGCTACCTGCCACACCTTAATGCCCTGATTGCAGTAGACCAGATATAGGCACCTCCTTTGTTCCCACTCTTGTCTCCTTTTGTCTGGTCTCCACCCCATAGACACATGGCTTCTTAAATATGTATATGTGCTCCATAAAACTCTTCAGTGAATACCTACTGCCCGTAAGTTCAAACTTTTGTTTTAATGTGTACTGTTTCATGAATTTGCATGCTGTCCTTGTACAGGGGCCTTGCTAATCTCTGTATCATTCCAATTTTAGTATATGTGCTGCAGAAGTGAGGGCTGTTAAGTCCAAACTCTGTTAGCAAGATTCGCAAAACCATCTCCACCTGCCCCCCTAATTCTAAACTCATTACTCTGTCCTGGAGGCCAAGCTATTTCATGGGGCTCCCTGCACTGCCATTCCCCACGTTTTGGCAACCACCCACTTATCCTTCACGTGCCTCCCTAAAGGCCAGCTCATGTACCCAACCTTGGGCCCTCAGCCCTTTGAACAGGTCTGGCTCAGGACAGGTTGAGTGTACTGAGGACTAACTCCCTGGCTTGAACAAGGATCTGTCAGGCACCAGCGTAAGAAGCGGCTGTAAACTTGTGTCCATCACACCAGTGCCAACACTGTGTACAGCATGCTCCTCTAGGGGTGGTAGGAGGGGGACATGGCTGAGAGCCTGGGGCTTCAGTCTGTTCAGCAGAACTCAAATCCAGGCTCAGTGACAGCTGTTTGCTGTCATATCTGCTATTAGCTGTCACTTCGGCAAGGCATGTAATCTCCTAGAATCTGTTTCTGCATCTTTTTTTTGGTGGTACAAGGGGTTGAATTCAGGACCTCACGCTTGCTAGGCAGGTACTCCATCCCTTGAGCCACTCTGGCAGCCTAGGTTCTGTATCGTGAAGCAGGGATGGGAATATCCCTCCCAGGCGCTGGTTTTGCAACTAGAAGGCGCCCTCCAGAACCTGGGGCTTGTAGCCTGAGGGGCTCAGGCCTGTCTACCTTCATAGGTTGGCTTTTTGTAGGAGTATCTGCCTGCACTGTGGGATGTGTTCTCCAATAAATGGGGAAACAGAGCAAACATTTTCTAAGAAATACATGTCTTTGCTCCCATTTTCTGTGTAGGGAACAGGAAATGTTTCTCTCTCCCTCCCCGCCTCGTTCCTCTCCTAATAAACTTTACTGTTACTTTTACTAAAAAAAAAAATAAAGAAAGAAAGAAAGACAAACTCTGTTGGCCCTTGGCAAACTCTAAGAATCCAGTCTTTAGGAATATAGTAGTGTATGGGCTGTGCATCTCAGGGGTAGTAGAATACTTACCTAGCATGTACAAGGCCCTGGGATCCATCCTAGCACCACACACATATACACACAAAAAAAATCAGAAAAAGAGTATTGCAGTTTAATGGGTCTAAGACCAAAGCTGCAACTTGTTGGCAAATAAATAAAGTCCCTCTGAAAGTTGTGAAGAGCAGAGATAGAAGTGGTGTTGCTTCTACCCCACGAGGTGCTTTCCTCCTCTACCTGCCTGCTTCCATGAATGGCCTCTTTGATGGAAGGTGAGGAGCTGTTTCTGGACAGAAACTGCTTTAGGAGTAACTGCAGTTATTGTTGAGTCACTGTCTCGGGTCTGCTGGGAACTATTACCACCCCTCCTGCCTGCTTTCCTTCTGCTGCCCCACCAGCAGGCCTTGGGCACACCACCTGCACATGTGGTATGGCGAAGGTAGCCTGGGAGCAGCAGCAGTGTTCCCAGTGCTTCCCCTTTGGGGGCAGAGGCTCTGGCTATCTTTCTTCCCTGTCCCTCTCCCCACACCCACCACCCAGAGCTCCCTACTCCAGCCTCTGGTGGGGGCCTAGATGAAGAAGAAGAAGCTGAAGAGACCAGTGTCCACACTCAGCAAGTCAGTAACTCAGGCAGTGCTGGGAATGAGGTGGGGACTTGTGCAAGCCAGCTTGAGAAGGCAGGGGTGGGTGTCTGGCTGAATCCCAAGAGCATATCAATTTTTGAGGAAGAATCTGACTTACTCGGCCAGGAGACCAGAAGGTCCTGCTCTATGTCCCCATTCAAGAAGGGACCTCTCAGGCAGGCAAGATAGAAGGCTGCACATGGTATTCTCCGAGGAAAGTTCCTGCCTCAGAAGAGGCCAGGCACAGACATCCCCAGCAACTGGCTCCAGAGGAGGGGCAGGGTGTGAGCCCAGGGGCAGCTGGGAAGCTCGCTGCCTCCTTAGACCCCAGGACCCAGTAGGTGGTGAACTGGTCTCACCCTCACCACTCCCTGGGAGAGGACACCCATGCTGCCTCTCCCTGTAGAGCACAGAGCCTGGAAAGAACGTGCCAGCACCTGTCCACATGAAGCGCTACAATCAGGCTCTGAGCAGCACCCCACCTTCCCCAGTGCCTCCTCCAGAGCTGGCAAGCCACGGAGTGGGGGAGAACTCGGGCTCTTGGTGCTCCACCAAGGCAGAGCCTCTCTCAGGCAGAATGGGAAGTCATATTGTAGGATGCTTTCTTCAGGGTCTCCAGGAAGAACTGTTCATCCTCCAGGAAGTCGTGGTCCTGCAAAGCAGATTTAGATGAGCACTTAGGCATCCGGGCACTGAGAGGGGGACGCTAGATACAGACTGACCTAGCCCTCACCTGGGGGATGCCCTCCCCACATACTCCCTAGCTCTGGGAGGCACTGGGGGGTGGGGCATGAAGGAGCTCAGGTATGGAGTGAGCTGGCCACAGACTCAGTCTTGGTGAGAACACTTTTATTAGCCGTGGAGCTTATCAGCACATGACTATGTCTGTAAGCCTCAGAATGCAGGACATGCTCCTTGAATGACAACTGTCATCAGTCTTATCACAGGGCATCTGAGATTAAATTGAGATGACATATGCCACTTGCTTGTACAGAACCTGGCCAAAAACAGAGGTCTCAGAAGTCGTACACTAGGCAATGCCCACTATTTTTCCCTCCAGGAGCTGGGGTCAGCCCTCCAGAGACCAAGATATGCTCTTTGCTATCTCTGTCCTGAGCTGGAAGGACTCTGCTTGTCACCTGCATGAACATGAGTGTCTGGTGGACACTCACCTGCTCAGCTGTGTGCTTCAGTAGCATCAGCTTGCTGAGGAAGTGCACAGGGCTTGGACCCGCTGGCAGCTGGCTGTGCTGAGAGGTGGCAGGAGCAGAGGCCACGAGCGCTGGGGAGGAAGTCAGGGGCCAAAGTGTTGGATAAATCAGGTGCCATGGCTTGTTCCCACATACCTGCTCCCCCATGGCCTGTGGATGGAGCCTGGACAAACGCTCTGGGGGCACATGGACTCAACTCTGAAAAGTCTCAGAAAAATGCTTGTAGGCTCTTATCTAACAAGTCTGTTTCTGAGATTTACTGAAGGGAAACAGTTAGGCAAAGGTACCAAGATGTGGGGATGAAGGTTTCTAGTGAGGTACTGCTCAGCTTAGCGCCAACAAATCCTTCAGCAGGGAACAGCCTCAGAATAGAAGGTCATGCTGATGAAGAGTAGCTACATGTTTAATTACTGACATGAAAACATGTTCCCAATGTGTTTCCCTAAGTGAAAAAGTCAGGTTAAAAACGTGATGTGGGGGTTGGCGGAGTGGCTCAAAGGTAGAGCACCTGCCCAGCAAGCTCGAGGCTCTTGAGTTCAAACTCCAAACATTATTAAAAAAAAAAAAAAGTGACATTATCCCACTTCTGTTTTTAAAAACACACATATACCACATGGAATGTTAGGTACCAGCATGCTACAGGTGGTTGCCTTTAGACGAGAGATGGGGTTGAGGGTATTATTTTTAAAAGTTTCTCTTCTATTTCTGACTTATTTCTCTGAAAACATAATTACTTGTGTAAAAAGGAAATAACAAGGACTAGAGGTGTGGTTCACAACGAGTGGTAGAGCATCAGTCTAACATGTTCGAAGCCCTGAGTTCAAACCCCAGTACCAAAGCTGGTGTGATAATTCATGCCTGTAATCTCAGCACTTGGGTTGAGGTAGGAGGATCACAAGTTTGAGCCTAACCTCAGCTTGGGCTACATAGTGGGACAAAACCTCAAGAACAAAAATTCCTAGCTGGCCCCTAACTTGAGCAGCCAGAGGAGGTCCCTCTGGCTCCTGCCTCTTCACTGTCTCAGCTGTCCCTTCCTTCTGGAGCCACTTACCACCCAGGTTTGAAGCTACCAGGCCCTGGGCCCTAGGAAGGCTGGAAGGTAGGTCCTGTCGCACGCGGTCCAGCTGCAGCCTCTGCTGGGCCAGGCTCAGGTGCTCCTATCCCCGATCCCGGAGAGAAGGAGTCAGTGGAGGGAGCACTGGCATGGGGCACGGGAGGGAGACAGAAGCCTTGCCTGGTGCACATGCTGCTCCTGCTGTCGCAGATGTTCCTGTTGCCGCTGCACCACCTGCAGCCGGGCCTGCTGCTCTGACTGCACACGCCGGGCCTCTTGCAGAGCGTGCTCGCCCTGCTCATACTTCTGGGAGGCCACCTGCAAAAAGAAGGTTGCTGAGTCAGGGCTGCCTGGGGTGAGATGGCGATCCGTGCTATACAACTGTCCAGCCATACCTTGCTCATGTGTTCCACCTCCTCTGTGCGGAGCTGGAGCCTCAGGGCAGCTGCATGGACCCTCTCCTTCTCCAGTCGCAGCTCCTGCCACTCTCGCTCCACAGCCTCCCTCTCAGCTGCCAGCTGCTCTTCTTTGGCCCGGAGCTCACTGGCCCTGACCTTCAGCTCCGCCTGCTCCTGGAGAAGGCAGACCTTCTGCTGCATTCACCTGTCCAGAGCTACACCAGGCTTGTGCAGCACCCCAGGGTCCCCTCTCCTGCCCTGCTTCTGGGAGGGGACCATACAGCCAGGGACTTCCAGGATGGGCCAGAGAGCCCTGGGCCCAAGCTCAGCTTTGGCCCCATGAGCTGTTTCCTCACTTCCTTCCTCATTTCTTTCCTTTCCTCCCTCCCTCCTTCCTCTCTTCCTTTTTTCCATTGTTATAGTGGTGCTGTGGTTTGAACTCAGCCTTGCACTTGTTAGGCAGGTGCTCTACCACTTATTCCATGCCCCCAGTCTTTTTTGCTTTACTTATTTTTTTGAATAGGGTCTTGCAGTTTATACCTGGACTACAGTCCTCCGGTTCATGCTTCCTGCCTAGCTGAGGTGACAGATACACATCACCACACCCAGCTTTTCTTGATTGAGATGGGGTTCTGTGAACTTTTCTTTTCTTTTTTTTTTTTTGGGGGGAGCCTGGGGTTTGAACTCAGGACTTTGAGCTTGCAAAGCAGGTACTTTGCAGGTGTGCCAGCCCATTTTGCTCTGTTTATTTTGGAGATGGAGTCTTGAAAACTATTTGCCAGGGCTGGCCTCAAGCCATGATCATTCAGATGTCAGCCTCCAAAGTAGTTAGGATTACAGGTGTGAGCCACCAAGCTCAGCTCCCTCATTTCTAAAATAGCTAAGCTACATGGGAATCAATGAGCAGTGAAGGAGAAAAATATGCATACAGTGTCTTGGAAAATGCAAGGAAGGTGCTGTGATGTGATTGCTGTTTTAATTCCTATACTTGTTATGTCATTGCTCTGCTGTTACGTCCCAAGCCTGGGAGCTGATGCATCCAGGTGAAAGGCCAGGGCCTCCAAACCCTCTGCTGTCCCGGAGGCTCTGGGCCCTACCTTGGCCAGGCTGATGAGGGTGCCTTCCCGCTGGGTGTCCACCTGAAGCGTCCGCTCTGCCTCACGCTCAGCCCGTTCCTTACTCAGCTTCTGCTGTGAGAAGAAGTCGGCCCACTCAGCTGCCAGGCGCCGCCGCTCCTCCCCACACTTGTGCATGACAGACCTCTGCTCCTCCAGCAAGGCACTCTGGACATGAGGATGGGGTATGGCATGAGTGTCTCTGGGTATAACGGCAGAATCAGTAGCTAAGTATGGTGCTATACTCACCTTGGCCCTTTCCAGTTCCTCTCTCTCCATGGTGATCTGCTGGACCATGACCTTCCTCTGCTCCTCAAGAGCGCGCTGCGTGGACTCTGCCTTGGACTGCTCTGCACTTACTCGCCAGCGCTCCTGCAGGCCCGTGGTAGGGCTCAGAGCCAGTTCCAGGAATAGGCCTGGTTGGTCCTGGTTGCAAACCTACTCACATCTCCCATGCTATGCCACAGATGCCTCCTTCACAAAGAGATGCAAAGGAAGGGGTGCCTGGGAGGCACTGCCAGGGCCCAGTCCCTGCTATTCTGCTTGAGATTAGGGCCTAGCAACAGCAGCATCTCTTCCCTGAATGTCCATCCCCAGCCTCTCATCAGCCAAACAGGCCAAGAGCACAGTGCAAGTTTCCTGCTGCACTGGGGACCCAGGGTGCCCACAAGCATGAGGTGAAAAGGTAACTGTGCCTGGCCTGAGGAGGCACAGTCACCAAAATAGTGAGCAGATAAGGTTTCTGATATAAAAGCATCTGTATCTACATTGTAACGGTCATAGGATCCCTTATGTTTTCAGTGGATATCTCTGGCCCCTGAGTAATTTAATTTTCATTATTTTAATTATTTTCTATTTATTTATTTATTTGATGGTACTGGGCTTGAACTCAGGACCTCATGCTTGCTAAGCAAGCACTCTACCACTTGAGCCACTCTGCCAGCCCATGGTGGTTCTTTAAAGAATGAAGTTCAGGCTTATATATAAATGATATGTAGGGAGGTCAAACATGTCTGTCACAGCTGGGAAGGTTAAATGACATTTAGTGGGCAAGAACGTCTCTTCCCATGCCAGGCATCAGCTGACATGGCAGATATGAGTGACAGGAAGAATGAGAGAAGTACAGCTGATGGTTGGGGCAGACTATGGAGGGAGGAAGGTGTGGAGAGACACAGAGGAGAGTCTGGGCCTTGGCAGCTGAGGAGGGGAGGGCAGAGAAGGCCGAACACCCCTCACAGGTGGCCTGGGGTACGGAGGCCCTGTGCAGCAGGATAGGCTCACCTGCTCCAGGAGCCGGCTCTGTTCATTCAGGCGTGCCTCCATCTTCCCGATGACCTCCTGAAGCCGGCCACGCTCCTCCTCCATGTCCCTCTGCTGCCGGCCCAGCCTCTCCTGCAGTGCTGGGGGCAGGCCACAGGGTGCTCACTCCTTAATCTCCTTCCCACCAAGCAGGGCCCAGGTTACCCAGACAAGGGCTATCTCGTACCTCGCAGCTGCTCGTCCCGCTGCCGCATCCCCAGCTCCTGTGCCTGTGAGGTGGAGAGGTGTGAGGCCTCCACTCGGGAGGACAGCTCGTTCAGACTGCTGGAGAACTTCTCCATCTGCTCGATGATGCCATTCAGGGACCTGGAGGAGGAGCCAGGCACTTTATCCCAGGGAAGTTGAGGCTGACCCCTCAGGTGGACATCACTGAGCAATACACATACCGTGTGTGGGAGGTGGCACTGGTGACGGCATCAATCTCTTGGTCCTTTAGCAGCTTCAGTCTCTGCAGCTGCTCCTCATGGTCCTTGTGCATCTCCAGGATGGATGTCCTGAGGGGGAGGTGGCAGAGGTGGGGAAGGCCAAGAGCCACTCTGAACAGGACCATGTGGATAGACAGTGCTGAGAACACTGTGGCAGCACCTCATGGCCTCATAGAAGGAGTCTCTCCTTCCCCTCCCTCAGGTGCTGTTTCCCTGGCTCTTCTGTGTCTCTTACTGCTTCAATGACATGTGCATCAAGAGATTCCTCCTATTACTCAGCACAAATGCTTTTCACAGAGCAAGACAGCTAAGTGCACAACCCTTCATTGGGCCCAGGGGCAATCTTTATTTGTTTGTGTTTGCAGTACTGGGGTTTGAACACAGGACCTACACCTTGAGCCACTCCACCAGCCCTTTTTTGACAGATGTTTTTCACAAACTGTTTTGCCCAGGGTGGCTTCAAACTGAGATCTTCCCGATCTTTGCCTCCTGAGCAGCTAGGATTACAGGTGTGAGCAACTGATGCCTGGCCCAGGGGCAATCTTGAAAGGCCTGCTGAACCTTCATGACCTACAGAGTGGAGCCAGTCACCAGCTTCCACTGGATCAGCTGGCAAGCAGAGTATCCTTTGCCTAGCTAGGGCTTGGTATTTGCTGCTGCCAGGCCCTGCCTGGACAGTTAGTAACTCCCTTGAGCCTTATGTGCGCTTCATCCTCCGTAGAGCGGGTGGTACTCCACCTCTCTACTGGGAGGTGATGGTCTGGTGTGTTCAGTCCTGGGTCTTCGCCTCAGTGCTGAAGGGAAGGGCCAGTCCCCATGTAAAGGTCTGTATTTGCCTCCTCCAGCCAATCCTTGCAATTCTGCTCCCCATCCACCTGCCCCTGCATCTTGCCCTCACCGTTGCAGCTCACGGAGCCGTTCCATCTCCTGGTCCTTCTCCTGGGCAGCCGCCGCCATGTGGCGCTGGTGCTGGGCTGTGAGCTCCGCACGGGCCTGCTCAGCCTCTTTGCAATGCAACAGGTACTGAGCAGACAGCTCCTCATTTTCTCTCCGGAGCCGCTCCTCCCGCTGCTGGTATGATGCTTCTAGCACTTTGATGCGGCTTCTGCCAAAAGACACCCAGCTAAAGCGCCTCACTGAGCACATCAGCGTGCTCGTGGGTCTCAGTGAGGGGATCTGAGCCAGAGCTGCGGCAGGATTTTAGTTCTGGAGAAGCTGAGGCAGGCATGGGAGGAGCTGGAGGGTACCTGTGAGCACTGTCGATAAGCTCCAGGTCTGCCTGGTGCCGCTGCTGCAAACTCTCCAGCAGCAGCATGTGCTGGGCCCGTTCTAGCTCCAGCTTCCGCACCTAGGAGATGGCGTGGGGCAAGGGCAGTGGGTTCCATGATGCTCAGTGCCTCCAGTCCCTCCTTCCTCCTGGCCAAAGCCTCCAGAAACTCACAGTGATGCCTGACCACTGTCCCTGACTCCCTGTGGCCCTCACCTGGGCCTCCAGCTCCGCCAGCCGGGCCTGACTCTGTAGCAACTCAGTCTGGAGCTGAGCAGTGCCACTCTGAAGTTGTGTCTGGGCTGCCAAGAGCTGCTTCTGGTATCTTGTATCTGGCAACAGGCTCTGTATCAGGGGATCTGGAAGCAGGGACTGCAGGCGAGGACAAGAACTATTCTAGGTGAAGAGACAGGGACCCAGCTGAACTTAGCTACCTCCAGACCCTCTGCTCACTGGACTGCCTGGCCTGTCTCTCATCTGTGGTTGTAGACAGGGGATGAGACCAGAATAGCACCACCAGGACAAGGCCTTACAGCAAAGCAGTCAGCAGCACCTCCCCTTTCAGCTCTGGTCAGGAAAGGGTATGTCCTTCCTCCCCAAGAACACATCCTCCCCAGTGTGGGGGGATGACTCCAGCTTCTGAAACAAACAGCAGTCTCAGCTGTGACAAAAGCTCCTGATGCCAGCCCTTTCTGTCTGGCCTCAGGCTTCATGCTAACAGTAATGCTTCCCATAAGCTATTTTTCACCCACCAAGACTCAGGTACATGTTCCTGGCTGCCACACCTCCTGGGCCCAGGTGTCAGAGGTGACTGCCACACCTGAGAAACAGAGGTGCAGTGGAAGGACAGCAGGGATGGAGGCTATCTAGGTGGAGCAGCAGGGCACCTGAACTACTACTTTCTGGAGCATTGCTGATACCCTTGCCAATTCCTTTTTATTTTAATTTTTCTGTTTTTTGGAGACAGATCTCACCATGTAGCCCAGGTTGGCCTCAAACTCACAATCTTCCTCCTGAGTACTGGGAGGGATCTCAGATGTATACCACCATGCCTGGCTTTCTTTCTTTTTTTTTTTTGGAGTTTGAACTCAAGACCTCATGCTTGCTTTACTACATGAGCCATATTGCCAGCCCCCATGCTTGGCTTTCTAATTCTGTCTATGCTGGCACACTCAACTCCACCTGGAAGCAGTGAGGCTAAAAGTTCAGTAAAGTGCTGATGGAGACACCAGAGTGATCCACTGTCACAGTAGACATGTCTGATACATTTTCCCAGCAGGTTGTCATGTCCAACTCCTAGAGCTGCCTCTGAGCACAGGACAACTGCTCCCTGGACCCAAGACATATACTTGTTTGTCTACCCTCCCTACCTGGGCAGGCACAGGGAGCCCTGTGGGTTCCTGGGAGCTCGGGATATAAATTGCAGGTTCTGAAAAATCAAAAGCAGAGAAATGTGTAGGAGTCTGTGTGTGTCTGGGAGAGTTCCTTATAACTCATTTTCCAGAGGTTCCAAAGGAGTTTGAATTATGTCTTCATTGGCCAGGGTTAAGCCTTCATCAAAGCAGAAAACGAACCAGTGCCGGAGAGGTCTCCCAAGGCTGATCTTCTCTTTGGGTCACTTGCAGGGAGGACCAATGTAGCCTGGCTGCAACTCATGGGGGACCTGGGAACATAGGGATGGAGAGCAAAGTAAATGGCCTTCCATGTAGGACCTGGGTAGAGAAGGGTGGCACCAGAAGTAAAGGAAAACTTTGAGCTCAAATAATTGAGTAGAAATACCCACCAGGTGGCTTACTCCTTGGGAGTAAAGGACCTGGCTGTGATGGTGGCTGGTATAGGAGAGAGGGATGCTGCCTCTGACAGCTCTGTCATTAGTATACTTGGCACAGACACTGAGTACCACAGCCAGTTAGCCACCCGGGGTCCTGGCACAGCCATCCACCATCCCCCTCTAGGGAAGGAGGCCAGGGCCAAACCCACTGCCTCTTACTCACACTCAGCCCTGGCTGCAGACATACCCTGCAATGTCAGGCCTGGCAGCTGGCATTTCTTGCATTGTTGCTCCTGAGGTTCCTCCACCAGCTGCCTGCTTAAGCCCCTGAGTGCTGGTGCAAGGTTGGCTGAGGAGAGTCCATGTTGAAGGTGAAGTTGATAGAAGGCCCACCTTAGGCTAAAGACAGTGCCAGAAAAAGCTCCCAGCATTATGCTTGTGGCGTTCCTCTGTCCTCTTCCCCTGCTTCTGTTCCCAACATTGTGTTGGGGAGTTCTCTTCCCCAGTCTGAGCTCTTGGGTATGTGGACTGTGCTGTTTTTCCAGGACCTGCTGTCCACTTCAACATCCACTGTTCTGCAGTAACTGGACACTGCCCATGGAGTGACAATGGGCACATCACACATAATAAAATTAAGTTCAAAACTGTCTTGGTCCACTTACCTTTGCTCGGCCTTAGATTATAGCCCAAGATGGCTGTCCTTGGACACTTTCTTGTCTGTTATTCTCACCTTCCTTTTTTGGTTCTCAGGGTTAGTCAGAAAGAGGTTCTTTTCTGTATGGGCCTCAGCTTTCCCTTGGTCCCAATCAAAGTCAAAGCTGCCCTCCTTCCACTCTAGCACCTGGTGTCCCTGGGTTCTCACAAAATTGCCCAATCTCCTTCCCTTGGTTCTGACTGAAAAGCATTTTACCACTTCCTCTGGACACTCAGCCTTGCCAGGCTCTTTGCCTTCCTGTTCTCAGAGGTCATTCATGACCATGCCCCACCAGACTGCCATCTGTAGCTCCCAGGAGCCACGCCTCAGCCATGACTTTTGGAATACCCCAAGAGCACAGGAGAAAACAACTCACATACGCTTTAATGAGTTTAGCTTGGACCAAGAGAAACACCAACAATCTACAGAGTGGGTTTCTTTCTCAGCCTGACAATACTGTGGGCAGCGCCCTTGCTTAAATGCAGAGAATAGCAAAGCCTGCCACTTCAGGACACTCTCTGTCCTCTCAAGCCTGATCAAAGAAGCACTTGCCCCCATAGTCAAGGCACTGAGCATCAACAACCCCCCAGTCCTCTTGTGTCTTGCAGAGCCAACAGCTCTCTCTCTCTGCTGTGCCCATGAGGAAAAGAACTAAAGCTGAGAGTTAGCATCAGTGCCCATGGCATACTGCCAGCATCACCAATAGATAAGGTGATGTTACAGGTGAAATGGGCAAGGCCGGCCTTGAGGCCCTGTCCTATTCTTCTTGCTAGACACAGCAGCCCAAGCTCATACCTGCCAGATGGGGGACGGCTTGAGTTTAGGCCCTTATAGGTCGCAGTGTGCTCTTCTCTGGCCAGACCTTGTGACTTCTTCTGAGACAAGACATGGCTTAGCCAGTCTTCCTCCTCTTTCTCCTCAGATGCTCCCAGCATGGAGGCCTGGCTGGTTTTGGTTGGGGACCTTGCACCCTTGGCTGGTGGCTTTGTTGCTGAGGGCAACCCAGCTGGGGCACAGTGCAGACCTGAGGCTGAGTGATGGCTTGGAGGAGCGGGTAAGGAGGGTGTGGAGATCGCTGAGCCTCCCTGTTGGAGCTCTTGGGTGGGAGAGGGAGGCAGCAGGTCCAAGTCATCATCCTTGAGACCTAACCAGTCAGCTCCCCCTCTCCTAGGGTGGATGGGGCTGGAAGCTGCTGGAGGGCTATGTTTGGAACCCAGTTCTCCCTTAGGGTCTGGGCCGCCTTCTGCTAAGAATCTGCTTCAAAACAGAGAGAAGAGTGTTAGGCAGGGGAGGCAGCTTGTCCCAGCAGCCCTTTATCAGTTTTTCCATCCACTGCTGGAGAGGGGAGAGACTATAAGGCCCACGGCAAGAAGGAGTCTGCTATGTCCCGGAACTCTGCACAGTCAGCCTAAGGCTTAATAAGCAGCAGCTCCTGGGCCAGCTCAGGATATGTGTTATTTAGAACACCATGAAATATGGACTTTTGACTCTCCCCATGGGAACCAGGGTCAATTCTGCCCAATGAGAACCAGGTCAAATCACAACCACAGGTATACAGACTCAGAAAGAAATCAGTCAGTTTAGATTTTCCGCTAACAGCCATTTGTCACTTGCTCATCTGTATAACCATCGCCTACAGAAGTTATGCACCAGTGGCAGCAGGCTCCCAGGCTTAAGGATATTTTGGGATTCACGGGCTGGGAGAGTGCAAGACGGGGGTTCAATCCCCAGTACCACGAAAAGAAGAAGCTGGGTGTGGTGATGCACACACATGCACATATACATAACTGTCAATTCAAAAAATCCCTTTGCTAATCTAATTTTCCATTGCAAACCAGGAGAAGTGCTGTCAGGACTGTCAGGATGGGTCCAGCAGCATTCTCAGGAAACAGGCTGGAGAAGCCCTGCCCGCTGCAGAACAGTAGTTCAGCTATCTCCTGAGCTGTGCACTCCTCAGCTGGACTGAGTGAGAACTTTTTAAGGCATTCAGGGGCTTGGGGGAGAGGCAAGCTTTCCTTCTCCTTTTCCTTATGAGCAGTCTGGGGGTGGTCTGAGACTGCCAGCTGGGCCAGAACTCACGATTGAGCTGCTAGGGAGTTATCTACACCCCTTCGTGGTGACTGGGCAGCCTCCCATTCAAGGCTGTTGAGTGGGATAGAAAGGCCCCACCTACCTGACAGACTGCCGGCGGGACTGGCGGCCCTCAGAGGAACCCACAGTGGGCTTATAAGCCCCAAAGGTGAGGATCTCATCATCCCAGGTATCTTCTTTGTCTGTAAATTAAGGAGCCTGTGACCATGATCTATAGCAGGGGAAGCCAAACCTTTTTTTTGTGTGTGTAAGAATTATCTCATGACAGTCTGTCTCAGTTACAGATGTGTTCAGTAATGTGTGTGTTATGGCAGGTAGCTTATTTCTTGTTACATGTGTGGTAAAGACCTGGTCTAGAGGTCCCCACCTCATCCTGTCCTATTCTGGAGGACTTCCTCACCTTGTGGCCTCTGGTACATTTTGTCTAGCTTGGAATCCCTCTGGTCCCCAGTACCCGGGCGAGCCAGGAGTTTGGTTGCTGTGCCTCGACCCAGTAGCTCATCCAGCTTGAAGCGTGCAGGAAAGGGCCCTTCCCTGTGTACAGGACATAGGAAAGGAGTTTGTGACTACATGGAGCTCCCAAGAGTCCAACTGTCTCACCCTTGAGCTTTTCCCTAGATCTGTGGCATCAGCCTGGTCAGGGACTCTGTGCTTGTCAAGGATCCTTACTGGTCTCCTGTCTGCTGCTTCTCTGCCTTGGGGCTATCTTCAAATCCCAGTGTGGCCATGATGTCGTCCCCATCATCAAACAGCAATTCTTCTTTCTTTCGAATGGGGGTGTCTCCAGGAGTTACAGGAATAGAGGGACCTAAAAAACAAAACCAGGGCCCAATGCCCTTGATCTTCTTGCCCTCCACTATGATTGAATGGGTTGGGGGAGGGGCTCTCTGCAACCCTGAGCTTTGTGTGGGGCAGTGGGCACTGCACCTGTCTGGTCTGCCCAGGGGACCTGACCCCCCCAACCCACTCCCATGCCCACACATTCACCTCCATGGTGCTGGAGACAGACAGTCTCTTGGTCCTGCCCTGCTGAGGTCTCTTGTTCCACCAGCAAGTTCAGTAAGCCTGTCTGTTGTCAGTAGACCGTGCCCCAGGATGAGGAACAAGCCCCTCCATCCTACCTGGACCTCTGACTGTGCTGGGGCACTTGTTGGAAGCTGTTTTGCTCTCTGTTACAAGTGGCTCCTTGGCTGTTCCTTCCTCATCATCAGAGAGAAGTCCTGCCAATGGGTCTTCCAGATCTCACCACCAGAAGGGAAAGCAGAGGTTGGACTGTGGCACTTTGTGGGAAAACAAGTTTGAAGCTGGGGCAGCTATCACTCGAGCACAAACAAGCTTCTCAGCATCTGTGGGGCCTGTGGCAAGAAGGGCTTGGACGCAGACGAGGCTCAGCAAGGGGAGAGGGAGTTCAGTGAGCCTGTCGTGTCTCTGACTTGGATGGCTGCATGGACTCCTGGAAATATCCCTAATATATCAGGAGAGAATTAAAACATTCGTGCATTCCTGAAGGGAAAGAGACCTTTCCCTAGACTTTAGAAAGTCTTCAGTTTGACACATGGCTTTGAAGTCCTTGCAAATTGTTGGCAATAATGGCGCCGATAGGTTTCAGTTCTTACTGCACCCTTAAGCTCCTGTTTTCCTGGGTCACAGTCCTGCCTCCCAGGGTCACAGTCCAGCCTCAAGTCTAGCTTGAATCCTCCTTCTGCCCCCACCCTCCAATCAGCCTGAACCATAAGATCCTAACCAACCAGATCATGGGGTATTTAAGCCCTTGCCCCTCCTGCTTCTCTCTCTTGGCTCTCTCTACTCTCTCCCTCTCCCACCCGGCAATAAAGAATCTCTTGGCCAGATCACTCCTCTCCACGTGGTCATTTTGGGGCCTATATTTCCTTACACAAATAAATTTCCCAAGGCTGGATACTAGAGGCTCACGCCTATAATCCTAGCTACTCAGGAGGCACAGATCAAGATGCTGTCTGTTCGAAGCCAGCCCCAAGCAAATAGGTCGTGAGACCCTATCTCAAAAAATACACAACACAAAACAGGGCTGGTGGAATGGCTCAACTGGTAGATCCCCTGCCTACCAAACATGAGGCCCTGAGTTCAAAACCCAGTACCAAATAAGGAAATAAATTCCCCAAATATCCTGGCTAATATGGCATAACTAGTCACTTCCATAACTCCTCAGGAACTAAATCGGGGGCACCAGCAGTCTGGTCCCCCTCTGAGCCACACAGTGACTTGGCCTTTGGCAGGTGCCAAGTGTTACCCTGGCTACTGTCAAACTGACATCCCAGAAGCAGAACTGTAGACCTCTGGTACCTTCAAAGGAAAACCTCTTGTACTGATGCCCAAAGCTGCTGAGAGAGGGAGGTGGCTTCTTGGTGGGAATGGTGTCCCCTGAAGGAAGAATAAAGAAGGTAGCTGTGGACCTCAGTCCTGGCCAAGGTCCTCCTCCATACCTTAGGCTGGGGTTCTTGGGACAGAGAGTACTTTATTCTGGGAAGGTGAGGCTTGTGGCAGTGGGCACAGCCACGAAGGGGTCTACATTCCCCAGTTCTCGCCTATAATCCCAGCACTTGGGAGGCTAAGGCAGGAGGACTTCAAGGCCAGCCTGGGCTACATAGCAAGGCCCTGTCTCAACGATCTCCCCTCACCCCCCAAAAAAAACTTTCAGGAGTTTCCATGTTGGACTTAAGAGGGACTGAATCTCTCCTTTCTCCCATCATAAACAGTCTCACACACACAGAGGCACAATTAGTTCCTTGCCCTCTCCATCCCAGGCAGAGAAAACTCACAGGACAAGAGAGCTTCTTTTTAAGCATGTTCCACATCTCCAGAGTCTCCCTAGGAGATTCCAGGAGGTATCCCCACTCACGTTTCTCATTGGCTAGGAACTTTTCAGCAGGCTCAGGATTGCTAGGCACTTCTTTCCCAGAATTCTTTGCAGCATTTTTGCCAGAGGCAGGATGAGACTTCCTCAGACCCAAGATATCAGCATCCATGTCATTCAGATCCTAAGAAAGCAGAAGGAAGGAGCATGACATCTGGGAAGGCACTGTGGTTTGGATGTTCCATGCCCCAAAGGTTCACATGAAAAGGCTTGCTCTCAGGGTGATGGTATTAGGAGAGGGAATCTTGTGGAAGGTCCTTTGGTCATTGGGGGTGTCCTTGCAAAGGACTGTGGGACTCCACCTGTCCTCTCTCTCTGTTCTGTTTCCAGATGTGACCATTTGTTCTGATACACGCTCCTGCCTTGACATGCTGCCATCTGCCAACTTTACCAGAGGCCATATCAATCCCTACCCTCAGTCTCATCTTGGACATGGAACCCTCAAAACTGTGAGCTACAGAAACCTTTTCTTTATAAGTGAGCTGCCTCAGGTATTTCATTATGGTGACGCAACACTGACTGGTACAGAGGGGAGGAGGACTTCCATCTGAGGAGGGCAGTTGGCAGCAGGTACCCAGGGACAGAACTATAAGAAGACAAAAGACAAATGAAGAAAACTGTTGAGAAAAATGGTGAGTTGGGAAAGACAATGGAACCAAAGGTAAGTACAGTTGGGTAGAGGCCTTGCTCATGGTTCTGAAATAAGAGACCCAAAGTCACTACCAGAATTGAGTAGAAGATGGGTCATGCCCAGGGTCACAGCCAACTAGCCTCAGGGAAAAGATTTCAGGTTGAGGTTAAAGATCTGAACCTGGAGCTGAGATTCTTTAGAACCCCACAGGGTGGAACCAAGAGCTTAGCCTTGGCCCAGAAACCAGGGATGGGCTGCAAGGATGAGGGTCGGACAGCAGAGTGCTGCTGATGGCAAGGGAAGGAAGAACAAGAGGTAGCCCATGCCAAGATACCTGGGCACTGTGAGATTATATTCTTATTCACAGTTTACAATTTGTCTTAAAATTTGAGGGTTTAGCTTTGGGTTTTATCTGATAAGAAGGGATCCTACTTGGCAGGGGATATGGAAACATGGAGAGAAAGAACATCAGAGGTCTTTAAGGTCTAGGACTTCAGAGGCACAATACTCCTCTATCCTCCCAGGTGGCAGTACAGGGCAGAGGGGACCCAGCCAGGTGAGTCTCTGGGTGGGGGCTCCATTTCACTGGAGGCCTGTAACATAGACTTTCCAGTCTCCAGATGCCTGGAAAACTTGTTTTATAGGTGGCAAGAAGGGTACTAGCTCAGGAGGAGCTCCATTCCTGCATACAGAAGGCTCAGAAACCCAAGGTGTAAATGAGAAATTTCATGAAGGATGAATCCTTGGCACAGAATATTAATTTCCCCACCCAAGCCTGACCCTGAGGATTGTGAAGTTATTTCACTACCTTTGTGGTTTTCAGCAGAGCCTGTGGGCCTGCATCTAAGATGTCTGAAACCTAAATCCACAGAAGGTGAGGGCACAGATGCGATGACGTTAGTCAAGGCACAACAACACTTGGGGCTCCAGCCCCTTGTCACCTTGCTTCTGTGGGAGCAGATGGCTCAGCAGGGGCAGAGTTCGGCCAGTGAAGCATAAAGACTAGAGTTCTTTGTCCCCTTCCCTCAGGATTTAGCTGTGTGTGTGTGTGTGACTAGGGCTTGAACTTCGGGCTTCACACTTACAAAGCAGGGACTCTACCATTTGAGTCACACTTCCAGTCCATTTTGCTCTGGTTATTTTGGAGATGGGGTCTCATGAGCTATTTGCCTGGGCTGGCCTGGAATTGGAATCCTCCTGATCTCAGTCTCCCAAGTAACTAAATTACAGATTTGAGCCACTGGCACCTGGCTTTAGCTGTTGTTTGAAATCAAACCTAGTTGTGGAGACCCAAGAAGTACTGCCATTTTCTGTTCCTCTCTACTGAAGAGACTACTTCCACCTTAAGACAGTCCAAGTCATGCTCCTTCCGAATCGTGACCAGACTGTCTCACTGGAAAGGGCAAGAAACAACTTCCACATTTTCAAGAGCTCTACTTTCTGGCTCATTGTTCTGATGGGGAATAGACAGATATTGTTTTGCTCTAAGAATCAAGTGACTTCTACTCCCTCTGTGAGAGTAGTTGCTTGGCTCAACTTCATTGCTCTAGGGGATAAATAGAGAGGTCAAGGGTTGGGGAATGGCCAGGCTCACCTCCACATCAGCTTCTGCCAGGCCTGCCAGGTTGCCAAGGGACCTGCAAAGGGGTGAAATCAGCACCGACCTGCATGCCCAGGGCACTAGGTAATTCTAAAAAATGAACAGTGGGGGTTAGGGATCTCATTCAGTGGTAGAGCATAAGCAGATGCAAGGTCACGGGTTTAATCTCAGCACCATCAAACAAAAAGAAGAGTTGCTTAGACAGTCAAAGCAAACTTGGAGAGATTTCTCTGCAGGAACAGAAATGCTCAAAGGAATTTCACAGGTTATGTAGTGCAGTGATTTTATACTTTTTTTTTTTTAAATAGAGCTCTTTTAAAAACAAATAGTTAAAAACAATAGGTAAAGAGAAACCAACTGCTCCAGCTAAAATGAAGGTGGAGAATGGAGTATTATATTTATGTCATCTGTCAGGAGAATAAACACAATTTGAAAAGCACTCATCTGGACCAACTATTTTTGAAGATAAGGGAACTAAGACTCAGAGGTTCAGGAACTGCCTAAGTAACAGATGTAGCACTAGAAACCTCCAGGTCAGTCCTCTTCCCATCCTTCTAGACCCCTTTGATAACTGGAAGCTGAGGGAAGGAGTGGAAAATCCTGATATTATCTGTGGGCACATGCCAAGTGGGAAATGGGGTGGAGGGGCAGAGAGTTGGACTAAAATGGGCCACGGATCCCCAGGCAACCTGGTGTTTACCTTGTTCTAGCCTTTGAAGGGAGCCCCTGAGGTATGCCTGCCATATCTCTGACATGGGAAGCCAGTCCAACAGGCTTCTCAGGGAGTGTTGCTGGAACAAGATAAACAGAAAAGACATTATTCAGCTATAGAGCACCACAGTGGAGATGGAAAGGATGGTGAGTTCCTCCACTCAGCATTCTCCCTCACCTTCCCTCAGAAAGGGCAGTGTTAAGAGAGGAAACTGGTGTCAGAGGCAGGTCCCAGTGTCATCCCTTGACAAATGTCATCCCTTGACAAATGAATGTGGAGGGTATGTTTCCAAGGACGAAGTCAACCCCAGATGCCAACAAGTGCTAAATGAAGAGTTCAACTCAACCCAACCCAACCAGACCCCAGGGACATATGGCTCCTCCACAGCCCAAAACTGTAGTTTGGGATATATGGGTTTGCGCTTTGAGGGTTCTGTCATGTGGGGGAAACCTAAACCTTGCTGTCTCTATGAATTTGCAAGTCCCTGAAGCCCTACTCCTCAGTATAACAATATGGACACAAAGAAGAAGGGGCTAGTATCCAGAGTACATAATGAACTCTTACAATTCAACAATAAAAAGCTAAGTAGCTCAATAAAAAAAACAGCAAAGGATCTGAAGAAGATATGCAAATTGCCAATAAGCATATGAAAAGATGCTCAAAGTCATTAGGGAAATGTGCATCAAAGCCACAATGGGATATACACTCCAAGGATGGCTATAATCAAAAAGATGAGAGATAAGTATTGGCACGAATGTATAGAAACCAGATTGCTGGAGGGAATGTAAGATGATACAGTTGCTGTGGAAAACAATTCCACTCAAAAACTTATACATGAATGTCCATAACTTATTTATTATAACTGTCTACTTATTTGTAATAACCAAAATGTGAAAATAATTCAAGTGTTCAACAACTGATAGATATATACAAGTGATTTGTAGCCAGTACCAGTGGCTCGCGTCTGCAATCCTAGCTACTCAGGAGGCAAAGATCAGGAGGATCGCAGTTCAAAGCCAGCCCAGGCAAATAGTTTGTGAGACCCTATCTAGAAAAAAAACCCACCACAAAATGGCTCGTGGAGTGGCTCAAGGTGTAGACCCTGAGTTCAAATCCAAGTACTGAAGGAAAAAATAAAAAACCAAGTTGTATATACACACGCAGATTTTTGGTGTCTAAAACAGACTACTATTATCTAGCCAGACAAATGAATTGCCAATATGTGCTGCAATGTGAATGAACTCTGACAACTTAATGCAAAGTCCAGATGTAAAGATGCAAAGAACATGGATCCATTTTATACAAAAAGTCCAGACAGGCAAATCCACAGAAACAGAGAGGAAATAAATGGTTGTCTAAGGTTGGGGCAGGGGAGAACGAGCGTTAGCTACTAATGGATATGGAGTTTGTTTATGGGGTGATGAAAACGTTCTGGAATTAGGCAGTGGTGATGGTATTTGGATTTTCTCAATGCCTATTGAACTGTACACTTTTTTTTGGTGGTACTGGGTTTTGAACTCAGGGCTTCATGCTTTTGAGGTAGGTGCTCTACCACTTCAGCCACACCTTCAGCCCATGAACTAGATACCTTTTAAAGAATAAATTTTGGGGCTGCTGGGGTGTAGCTCAGTGGTAGCCACTTGCTTAACATGCATGAGGTCCTGGGTTCAATCCTCAGCACCAACCCCCCCCCAAAAATTATATAAATGAAAAATAAGGAGCGAATTTTTTTTTTTTTGGTGGGATTGGGGTTTGTACTCAGGGTTTCAAGTTTGCAAAGCAGGAGCTCTACCATTTGAGCCACACCTTCAGTCCATTTTGCTCTGGTTATTTTTTGGAGATGGGGGTCTCATGAACTATCTGCCTGGCTGGCCTCAAACTGTGATCCTCCCAATCTCAGCCTCCCAAGTTGCCAGGACTACAGGTGTAAACCACTGGCACCTGACAAGGAGTGAATTTTATGGCTTTTTTTTTTTTTTAAGAAGAATAGGACTAGGCCTGGGGGAGGGGTACTCACTATCATCCCCCAGGAGGTCACTAAGGACATCATCAATGGAGCCTGGAACAGAAAAGAGCCATCATGATATCAGCAGGAAAGAAGAGTGGTACACACAACTTCAAGTCTTGAGGCTCCCCAGAGACACAGAGCTCTCTGTGTTGGGCCTTAGGCTTAGCTCTGCCTTCACTGGCCACAAGATGTTTTCTAACTCTCTGGCAATAAGTCACAATGCCTTGTTGAAACACTGAGGTAGAAATTTAAAATAACTTTCCCAAAGAATGATAAAGACTTTCAATAGAACCTCCTACCAGCCTCTCTATGACACACTAGCCAGCAATCAGTCTTCCGGACTCTAAAAGAGCCCAGTGTGGTTCTTTGGGCAAAGTGTCTAAGATTCTTAGGCACACACAAGCTTCTTTTGTGCTGGGGGTTGGGGGGGAAATCTAAGTAGGAAAACAGACTGAATTAGTCCTCCTATCCAGTTTATGTGCCTTTATCATCCTTCTACTCCTGGATACAGAGCTCAATGAGGATTTTTTTCCTCCTAAAACCTCATTTGTTATTTCTGAATCTCTCTGAGGACTAAAGAGGCAGCATAAGGAGGCCCCTAGGAAGACTAAGGCTCCTTATGGGAAAATCAAGAAACCTCTTGCCAAAAACATTTCAAAACAGACATGGCTAAATGATTTCAGGACCCAAGCGGGAAGAAGGGTATATATTTTACTTTAAGGATGATTGATATTTCATGTCTCCACTCACCTTTCAATCCCTTCTTGGTTTTTGGTGCCTAAAATGGGAAAAACAAGTCACATGAACAAAAATCAAACAGTGAAAATGTATCAAAACCGAAAATGGAGAATATATTGTTGTGCCTTTTACCAGGTCAGCAGAGGAAGGAGCACCAATAGCATTTAGAAACAGAAGTTCCCTTGTTTTCCTAAGAATGGATTTATTCAGAGCATGCAACAAACCAGCAGTGGTACCAATGAGTGGACAGAAATCTCTTCCTTGATTTCTAGACACCACATGCAAAATCCTCCCAACTAGGATGTAATGTCACTGAACATTTTCTTCTATCCCATGAACCTCAATCTTAGTGCTTAAAAAAGCACCTCCAGCTGGACATTCAGAGGCTCAGGAGAAACCTTGCTCATGACTTAAGTTTGTTATCAATGGTGCCTTCCCATCACTGTTCTCTGGGGACCATATTCTGGTCCTTATCATGCAATCCCCGGACTATTCCATGCATTCAAGATGTTCAACGGTGCAGGAGTGGGGTAGAGGATGGTGTTCACATTTTCACACATCTCACTCCGCATTCTTCCTACCATCTCAGGGCTCTGGAGGCTTCCTGCAGTTCCTTCCCAGCACTGTGCAGCTCATTTGAATTTTGTCCATAGCAGGCCCAACCTCCCTAATGAGAAAAATTGAAGTGGTTGTTTAAAAATGATGTAGCTTTACCAGTGCTTGAATCCAAGGGTCGTCCAGGCTCCTCTAACATTGCCTATTCAAGAGGCATGAGATGGATATGGCATTGCACACCCGTAATCCCAGCATTTGGGAGGCTGAAGCAGGAGGATCACTCTTGGGAAATATAGAATACCCCATCTCAAAAAATCAAAATTCAAAAAAGAATTCCCAGGCAACCCTCACACCTATTTTCTAGGCAGCATTTGGCACAAAGTGCAGGCATGAGCCCTGGTTACTCTTTGACTCATTTTGCCTTGAAGGTGAAAAATTTTCCCTTCACGCTAGTTGAAACTCAGATTCAGTGCATTGAGAAGTTTCCCTCGGAATTTGTTCTCTCCCTCTCCCTCTTTACCAAAACCCACCTTAGGCATGCCTTGGAAGAAAGGAGTCAAAGGTGCTCATCTCTGTTTCCCTGATGTGGCCTGTTCTGTTATTAGAAGGCAAAATGTGGGCTGGTGAAATGGCTCAAGTGGTAAAAGCACCTGCGTAGAAAGCATGAGACCCTGAGTTCAGAAACCCAATGGGAATGCCAGTGTTTCTTTCTCTGCGATGGTAACTGTGGGACTTGAAACTTGCAAGTCCAAACGTGTCTTGGTTCATAACACATCACAGAATTTATACCATCTCCGGGCCGTTCTGTCCCAGCTTCCCAGTCGGCGGGTATTTTCTAGGAGCGGCTTGGAAAGGCTAAAGGGCCCCAGGACAACATCCCGTCATAGCATCTAATCAGTCAACTCTATGACCAGACATTTTTAAAATCCGCCCCTAACCCAAGGCCCTTCCCGGAGTCTCCCATCCAGCCTGATTCTGCCCCTCAATGCTTCATTCCCATCGCACCCAGCCAGTCTCGACCGGTGCGCAGCCTGTGATCCTCCCAGACCCTGAAATCCCGGTTACACGCCGTCCCCTCCGAGACTTGGCCGCGGAAACTGGGCCCACCTGGAGCCCTGGGTTCCGATTCCACTCAGTCCGTTCAGCTTTGCCAAGCCTTCCACCTCCGCGTTCCTAATGCCCACTTCGCCATGGCCGGCTTCCCGCAGGAGGCGGCGCGAGGCATCCTGGGAGCTGTAGTCCGCGACCCAGTGTGCCAAAGGCCAGAGGGCGCCGAGGAAAACTACACTTCCCAGTGTGCCCCGCGGGCAGCCGCTCGGCCAGGCCTCCCGTGGTGGTTCAACGCGTTGCTAGGCACTGTCTTAATGCCTCCCGCACCTTCGAGCAAAGGCCCTGCAGGAGGACCGTAGTGAACTGGGATGGGAACGGGAACAAAGTTCCTTGCGCGCTCTTCTGAAGACCGACTTGTAGTGGGGTCTGGGTCCTGAGAAATGTGATGTTGGGAGATTGGCGGGTGAGCCCCATATTTATCCCATACCCAAAGCTTGTGGGAAGTTACTGTGGCCTTCCTGGTCAAGGATACAATCAAAGCTGCGCGAACCCTAACATCAACAAAAAGACACGTAACAGTTTTTCTTGTGTGTGCTTATGACAGCTTTTTATTAAGGGTTATTCCATTTCACTAAACAATGTTGGCTTACCAGCAGGTCAAGCCAAGCCATGCTGGTGGGTCATCCAACCTTGATTGGCAAGTGGGCTCGGGGCACCTCCTTCCAGTCCCACCCCAAATCCCACCTCCACAGGGTAGTCAAGCTAGAGTAGGGTAACCATACATGCTAAATGCATTGTGTCAGGTAGGAATCAAACTTAACCCACAAAGTAATTACACATTCCAAAGGATATGTCATTTAATTGAATCCACAGCAACTGGAAATGTTTTCACCAACTAGTACTCAGCAATCTGAGTATTATGTAGAAGACCACATCTGTGCTACTTAAAAGCAATCTATTAAACAGCGGTATTGTAGCAAAACTATTTTTGATGCAGAATTTCTAAATCACTCCCGATTTTCCTTATAGTCCCAAGACAATGTACTTAAATTTAAGGCAAAACCAAACACCATAGTCTAGGATTTGCAACCACCAACTGGTTAGTAACTCTAAAAACGAGGTCTCTTCTGTGGCTCTATTTTTAGCATCATGAACTGACTACAAGAATAGGTACTGAAGAATTTGTTAAGCTGGACAGCTAAAAGCTGGACAGCAAGTTTTAAGTGAAGTCGTTTTAGTCATTTAGAGTGACTTGTTCTAATCTTACAAGAATGGAGTAGTCAATTTTCTGACTTCTTCATTATTTCATAAAAATTGTTAAAACCTTTACAAATCAAGTATTGACCTCAGAATGAGCATGGCTCCTCTTTTCACAACAGTAGCAGCTACTGCTTGAAGACAACCTATAGCTTCAGACATACCTTCCAAATACATAAAGACCTAATTCAGCTCCTTCCTAGTAAGATGGAAGGAAAAAACTCAGAAAAGGGGAGGAGAAACTCTGAGCAGCAAATGTCTAAAATTCCAGGCTGATGAATATGGGGAGTTGTGTTCTCCAAAGGCCTGCAGTGAGGGAAATCCAAAAGTTAAGATCTAACATGTTAGCTAAAACACCGCTGGGTATGAGTAACCAGAGATTACAGGAAAATATGTAAACATAGTTAATGTTGCAGTTAAGTTTGGAAAATAAACAGATACTTAACAGTGCTATGTTCTGAAGACAAGAATATGCAGGGTCTCCAAAGGTTTTGGTATCAACTGTGGTTTGAGGTCATCTATGTACAGACACTGAACTTTGCCTTGGTATCGATCTAGTAGGGAATGAAGTAGAGTCCCAACGCATGATGAAGACTCTATTAAGCCTTGAATCTTCAGTTTCATATACTATGAAGAGTACTTTTTTTTTAAAGGCTCAATGTTATCTAACAGGAAAATCTTATTAATTGTACTCAAAACTGCTGCTTGTTCAGGCAGGTATTCTTTGTTTGTTCTCAGTGTTACCTAAGCCTAATAAACCTGTATTTTAAATTTCTTCATAACTTATGTTTAATTGTATGACATGTTCCTTCTCAATAGTACAACTCAGTGAAGTTTTACTATCTCTTTATTCTTTGATTACATTGAAAAGAGTTCAAGACAAAACATTCCAATGTTAATAAAAATACTAGTATCAAATGTAGGACTTAGTTTTTAAATGAAACTCAATGTGCTGGAAGGTGGCTCTGTAGTATCTACAACCTCTTCAAGCCTGATAAAATAGATCCCAGATCTGTGCTGCTGGATTAGGCGGGTCAGTTTAGGAACTCTCAGATGCTGCCCACAAATATTCATCTGTGAATACAGTATTTAAACACTAATTTTGAGATAACTACACATTTAACAGACCTATGTTGTCATTTAAATTTATTTTCCAGAATCTGAACTACCATCAACATATAAGCAAATGAGTGACACGGTGCTAATCTTCAATCCTAATCCAATTATCATTTCTCCCAGAGAAAAGACTAAGACTTGTGTCAACATACAGTGTTTCTGCTTTAAACAAAAGGTCTCATATTACCAGCTTCCCTGGAATAGATTTTATGTCAGGTTCCAAGAGAGAAATTATTTCTACTGAATTGTACTATATTCTCAGAACTGATTCTAGAACTGGTTTCATGAGGCAGGTATCACAAATATAGACAATTAACAGTTTAAAAATCAAGTGACATGTTTTACATTGGCTTTAAGAAAAAAATTCATGAAAAAGTACATTAGCTGGGTGTGGTATTACAAACCGAGGCAGGAGAATTCAGAGTTCCAGTCTAGCCTGAGCTACATAGTGAAACCCTATCTCAAAAAACCAAATACCTTTAAGGACAGAATGATTGTGTAAATTATATTTCAACTGAAATGACAATTTAGCAACTCAGATAAAGCTCTTAGAACAAACAACAAAACCAGATATTCAAGAAACTGTCTATGGAGCTTCCATTCATCCTTTAGCCATAGTTTCAAAATTTACATTTTGTGACCCAAAAATCAGAACACATAGTTTGTATAGAAGGGGTTTTTTGTGTGTGTTATTTTTGGGTCTAAGAGGTGATCTAAGTGATATTTTAATTTTTTTAATGCCAAATACTTTGTAACCACCAAATATTTTAATGGCTTCTGCCAATATGACAGAATATTTAAAATCTCAGGAAACCTAGTTAATAAAGTCACCCAAATTACAGAAGTGCCACAGCTGAAGGTTCTCCCTACATTTATTCTACTAAGAAGGACTAGTCATTTTTTTCTCCTTTCTTCATTATCTCAGGGGAGAGCAAGAGAGGAGGAATCAAATACCACTGACTGAGGTCCCAGCATTGGCCAAGAGCCATATGTGGACATAACTATGTTTAACTCTGCAAGAAGCTACTAAAGTGTAGAAGTGAAACACATAGAGATCCCTTGAGCAGATCCCCAATGGGCTGTTCCTGCAGTAGGTGTGTGCTGAAGGAGCACTCTGGTTGGAAAAGCAGGCAGAAAATGTTCCAAGCACACTCACTCACTTAATTCCTAACAGTTCCTTTCTCCAAGCCCCTCTTCAGTCCTGCTTTTTTAGCCAGGCTTCATGGCTATAGTAGTAAGGGTTCTGCCCCACATAAAACACCTTTGTTTAAAAACACATAGCCAGTGATTAGCAATCAAAGTGTGAACATCATTAGTATACTTAGTAGTTAAAATTCTGTTAACTATCAAAGTCATGGCCAACTGGCATCAGCAGCATGACAAATGGAAGTCATACTCCATTTCTTAAGCTTCTCCCAAATGCTTAATGTGTTCCTTTTAGTGTTAATTGCACTTAAATATACAGTTTTCTCATTAAATCTCTGAACTCTCTTCATTTTTTTTCTTCATTTATAAAAAGAGAAAAGGGGTCATCATTTGCTTTAAAGCTATATGGAGCTGATGATTCCATGCCAATTTGTGCATCAGGTAGGAGGAAGCTGCACAGCTGATTTCTGGAGCACATTAAACTTGTCCTTGTGACAATTCAGAGCTTGGACTGCAGAGGCTTCAGGTGCTTGTAGTAAGACCTGTGGACCTGCAGGGAAAGGAGAGTGAAGAAATAACGGTAAAGAGTCTGCCATGTAAAATAACTTTTTTTTTTTTTTGACAGTATAGGAGTTTGAACTCAGGGCCTCAAGCTTGCTAAGCAGGTACTCCACTACTTGAGTCACATCCCCAGACGTAAAAATAGTTATTTTTAATTGAGAAATTGTCTGCACCTTATTTAGATCCAAATTCAAGTAATTTTTTTTTTTTTAAAGAGACACGGTCACTGGGCACCAGTGGCTCATATTTGTAATCTTAGCTACTCAGGAGTCAGGAATCCAGAGGATCATGGTTCAAAGTCAAGCACTGAGCAAATAGTTCTTGAGATCCTAGCTCAAAAAAACCCATCACAAAATAAGTGTTGATGGAGTAGCTTGAGCCCTAGGAGTGCCTGCCTAGCAAGCATGAGGCCCTGAGTTCAAGGCCCAGAGCCACCAAAAAATAAGAGAGAGAGACAGGGTCTTGCTATGTTGTCCAGGCTGGTGATACTCCCACCTGAGCCTCCTAAGTGGCTGAAACTACAGGTTCACACAACCATGTTTAGCACCCCCAAAAATTGTTTTTTAAAAAAATAGAAAGAAAAAAAAAAGCTGAATTGGGGAAATCTGGATGTTGACTGGGCATCTCATGACATTGATTATTGTTATTTTAAGTGTGGAACTGGTATTGTGATTGTTTTTAGAGTCCTTGTATTTTCGAGCTACATAGTAAAATACTTGCAGATGAGTGTCTGTCTGATGATTTGGATTTTTCCAAGATAGTTCCCATGAAGTGAGAGCCATGCAATGAAAGTTGGGGGTGAGGTCAAGTGGGAAGATTCAGATGAAACACACTGCCATGATTTGACAGTTATTGAACCTTGACAAAGGTACATGGAAGTACACTATAGTATTCTATTTTGTATGTTTTGCTGGAATATTGAGAAACACTGCAACAATGCAAATATGGCTACCTCCGATAAAAAAGCCAGAAAAAAACAACATGCATAGCTGGCTGCCAGCACCAATGGCCTTCTCACTAATGTCCAGCACCTCCCCCC